CCTACAGGGACATTTCTCCATGATGCCTTTTTCTACCATTTCTTTTATTGGGATAGAGTTAACTGAGACTTTAATCAAGAAAATCTATTACTATTTTTTTTAATAGATGCACTTGAGCCTTATTTTCCCATAGCAGAAAAGATGGACATTTCTTTGGCAGTTTTGTGTCTTGATTCTGTTTAATAAATTGGTATTTTTATAGCAAGAATGACTCAGCATTTGAGGAAAGAAATATTGCAGATTGGTACTGTTTTTTGGATGTCCCATGCCACGTGCCACTGTAAAGTTGAGGGACTTTGACTAAAATGGCCATCTACAAACAAGACTGAGGAAAGAGGAAGAAACTAATTCTGGCGATCAGCTTCTGCGAAGAGTACTCATGAAGCAGATGAAATGTGTTATAACAAATTGCTACATCAACACAAAAATAGTTTTGCACATAGAAGAAAAACTTCTGCAGAGGAGTGGAATATATTCTGAATAGTACTGCTCAGAGAAGGAAGCTAGCACAATCTTGCTATGGTCCTCTCCAGTAACTTAAGAAGCTTTTTTGGTACTATTGACTTGTTTCTTACAGCCCAATGAGGTATCAAGTGCGGAATGACAGGCTTTTTTGGATGAGGAAAGGCTAATATTTCTGCAAAACACACAGCAACTTCAACCCATTTGATGCTGTCTTCCGAGAGATGCACTATAAAAGGGGAAACTGAGTGTATACAGTTTTTCTTGCTGATTTGGGTTTTAATTTTGTTTTTATTGCTCCAAGAAAATGCCTTTTATTGTAAACCAAGGTTCCTCTGATTATCTTATTTTAATAAAATAAATTAAATTTAGGTTTAAGCTTCAGTGTTATTCTTCAGTGCAATGTCTTACAATTCTAAGATGTCTATTTAGATGCATGTAGTTCTGCGATCGTGTGCCCATTTAGACATCAGTGTCTTAAATTATCTCTAGAAATTCTAAATTATCACAAATACTCTTCTCTGTATTGACCAGAATAGGTGGCATGCACAAGTTTTCAAATCCCTACGCAACTACAGCAGTGCTTACACATGCAAATATTAGGAATGTATTTAATGTATTTTTGCCTGTATTTATTGCCCTCTTTCAAGAAATGTGAATTATGCTATTTCTGCTCTGCATTTATGTTCCGTTAGTCTGTCTTTCTCAGCTATCGACACTGGTGCATCATGTGACCAGCCATCTTACTTCAGACTACAATTTAGAAATAGTAAGGTAGCCTAATTTCAGACTGTGGGTCAGTCTCTAAATCTCTTTCCTGTTAATAGTAATACTTAATATTTTTAATATTCTGTTAAGTGTTTGGATTAGGGAAGAATGGACACTAGTCATAGGGACCATGTGTACTATTTAGGCCTTGGTTGGTATAGTAATACATTATGCTCCTGTTTTTCCTTAATTTAATTTTCAGTTACCCTGAAATGTACTGTCTCTTCCAAGTAAGAGGGATAAGCAGTTATGCAATTCTCTGCATGCTAATGATTGCATAAATCTGAAACCAACCACCTATTTTATCTTTGACATATAGTAGAACCTCAGAGTTATGAACAGCTTGGAAATGGAGACTGTTCGTGACTCTGAACGAAACATTATGGTTGTTCTTTCAAAAGTTTACAACTGAAAATTGACTTAGTAAAGTTTCAAAGCCATATTATGGAGAAGAAAAATGCTGCTTTCCTTTATTTTAAGTAGTTTAACACTGTACTGTGTTTGGTGGTTGGTTTTTTTTTTGTCTCTGCTGCTGCTGCCTGATTGTGTACTTCTGGTTCCAAATAAGGTGTGTGGTTGACTGGTCAGTTCATAACTCTGGTGTTCATAACTTTTGAGCTTCTGCTGTGCCATCTAGAATTCCTTACGCTGACACATTGTTAGCTGAAGTGGGAATAATTTGCTAAAGGGTAGTTTTTCTGCAGTGAATTATGCAAACCTCTCTACTCAGTTTTTCAAATTGTTTGCCAGCACCAGACTACTGCCCTCAGCTTCTTATTCCATCAGCTGATTTACTCCAAAGCCTTCATGAATGGGGAGAGAATTACTGAAACACAAAGCAAAGGAGCAGACAAATTCTGAGGTACACTTTTTTTAATTTTTACTCCCTGCAGATCAGCAAGGTTCTTGTTACCAGAATAAATGTTGTTGCCACATAAAAAAGCCTTCGCTTAACATTAAGGTTGAAGTAGTTTTGTATAACCCTTTCAAAATTTCAGCATTACAAAGATTAAACGAGCAGTGAAGTGAAATTACCCTTAACGTTCAAATGTTTGGTTAAATTCAGCTTGATCATTGGGACAACTTCTAAATCTCGCCCTAATCCACAACATGTTGTTGGTAACACAGTATGAACTATAAGAGTAAAACTTTTTGTTCTGTTCTACAGCGACCAGTCCTTAAATATGATGATTTACAAGAAAAAAATTCTAAGGGGATTGGAAAAATACCACATGCTCCAGGTTTCAAAAAGGAATAATTTAAGTTCTAAGCCACTGAACAGATTCACTTGTAACTAAGTCTTTACCCTAAGATTAAGGGGTGTGTAACTTTGATTGTAATAAACATTTTACTCCAGGAGCAAAAGGCTGCTACACCAAGTCATGGTTCCAGCTAGCCCCTACGAAATGTATGCTGAGATGTTCTAAAGGGGATTTGGATGCTAATTTTAATGAAAATTGGGCATCAAAATTCCCTAGATGACATTGAAAATTTAGCCATAGTTGTCTTGTTTAATAAATACTACAGTATATGGCATCTCCTGCCTCCTTGTTGACAAAGATAAATATGGAATTGTCTTGCTTAAAGGATTTCAAAATTAAAGCAAACAAAAGCAGGACAGTGCTGCAGTTTGCTTACATATAATATGGTTTTTATGGGAGGAGCTGTTTTTCAGTACTAGAAACAATGCAAAACTAATGACATGCAGCAGAATGCTGAAAAGAAGTCACAGAAAGGTAGTGGCACAGTTGTTTGTATAGAAAAAGTGAATGTTTGAAGGTCTGTAGATTGATTGGCATGGAGTCTTGGTTACATTGTTAATTTTACAGCACAACAAGCATGACTATCTTGCTGAATGTAGCTTGTCTGTGCTGGCATACATTCTTGTTGCTGTTTCCTTCATTCTCTCTCCCATTGTTTGTTACTCCTGCTATTTTTCTCAGTTTAGATTGTAATTTCTGGAGGGACAGGGACTGCCATTTTATTCTGTAGTTGTACAGACTTGATCCTAATGGGGGCCTCTAGGCATTAAAATAAGTAGAAACATAAGTGTGTCAAAAATACTTGGAGGAGCCTGGCACAGGAAAAGATTCATAGTAATCGTGATCTTACTATCCAGACATAGTTAAATTACAACCTTCTCCGTGAGATTAAGTTTAGTATCCTGAGCTACAACTAAGGAACAGCACTGCACGTTTTCTAGTTGTGGAACAGATAGTTGAAACTTACATATTATTTTGGATAAAAATGGTGCTTAATGAAGGCCATGTAAATCTTCAGGCTTGTCCTAAGTATGCAATCCCAATATCCTAAATTGGGTGTAGCAGGCTGCCTCTGAGGGGAGTAAGTGTGAGCTTTCTCTTCAAGTCATTAACTATCTGTCTCCACCTCTTCCCCTTTACTTGCTCCTTCTTTGTACACGAAGCTCTGTTTGAAAAACTTCTTATACTGAAGATGTTGGCTATAGCAGTTGTTCTCAACCAGGGGTACGCAGAGGTAGGGTGACCACACATCCTGTTTTGGTCCAGATAGTCCCCTTTTTCAGCTATCCTGGCCCTCCCTACTTTTTCACCAAAACCGGGAATTTGTCCCAGAGAAATTTGATACTGGTGGGCAGTACTGCCTTCAGAGCTCACCCCCAGCCTCATTGCGGGTGGTACCGAGCCAGCCCCAGCCTGTCCCCTTTTTACTTTAAGAAAAATGGTCACCCTACACAGGTCTTTCAGGGAGTACAGATACAGATCTGTATACAGATATTGGCCAAGTTTTACAACAGACTACATAAAATGCACTAGGGAAGTCAGTACAGCTAACTAAAATTTCATATGATGACTTATGTATACTGCTCTATACACTGAAATGTAAATACAATATTTATATTCCCATTGATTTATTTTATAATTATATGGTAAAAATGAGAAAGTTAAGCAATTTTTCAGTAATAGTGTGTTGTGATGATTTTGTAAGCAAATAGTTCAATGAGGGGAAACTTGGGGGTATGCAGGACCAGACTTCTAGAAGGGCTACAATAGTCTGGAAAGGTTGAGAGCCTCTGGGCTGCCGTGCTGGCACTTCATTGTTTACTCTGTCCATTTAATCTAAACTTTCAGCCAGACCTTCACTTTTGTGAAGTTCACCATCTGTAGGAATAAGCTAGCACAACCTGCAGAAAGTCAGTGAAAGTAATTACCTTTCTCCATCCATCAGTAATAGGGGCATATGTGTACACATACCTAGAATCACTGACATTCTCTGGCTTCTCCCTTTTAACTTAGAGCAGATGCCAGAAAGGAAGTACCTTCTGGCTAGAGCACATATAACTAGAGACCTACTGAGCTCAAAAGTGAAAGCAGCCAGCTGCCACCATTAGAATGAGAGTAGAACCTCAGAAGTGGAGGTTGTTTTTTTTGAAAGTTTACAAGCAAACACTGACTTAACACAACTTTGAAATTTTACTATGCAGAAGAAAAGTGCTGCTTTTAAATGAAACAAGTGCAGAAAGTTTCCTTACCTTATCAAATCTTTTAAACTTTCCCTTCAACACAGTACTGTACTGTACTTGCTTTTTTGGTCACTGCTGCTGCCTGAGCAAGACCATGGTCTGAGAACCCTGAGGATGACTCAGGTAATAAATGCAGTAGTGGGGGTAAAGGGTTCCACTGCAACCATGCAGAGGTTATTTGTACCACTATAGTGACTGATCTCTTTGGCTTCTGGTTTCTTAGTGACTAAGATATAACTTCATCTCAAATCTGACAAAGGGACGCATGTAAATTGCATCTGAAATAAATTATTTTATTTTAAGAGAAATTTAGTTTTGCTTCTGTAAGTGAAATCCAGTAGATAGTTAAATTGACAGTGATCATTGCAATTCTAGGGCCTTAAGCAACATGTTCTATTGAACTACAGACCAGTCTAATTCATTCTAGAATCAGTAAAAATGATGGATCAGAATGTTGATCATTCTTGCATATAGCTGCAGTTTTGAAACACTCCTTTCACTCTCCACTACACTAGTTGCCATCAATTAGTGTCAAAGATTACCCTGCTTATACTTCCCATCATCCTAATTTATTGCTATGGTTCTTTTTTCAGTTTGCACAAAATCCAATTTGAACAGCAAAATGCAGGATTTCTACTACAATGCAGGTATAGCCACACCTGCAACCATGTCAGCTCAACCTGAGTCTGTGTAGATCGGTCCATGGATGAACTTACTGCAGTAAGCACTGTTTTGATGGCATTTCATAAGGTGTGCACGTATAGAAATAATGCCCAAGAAATGGTGGTGGGAACAAGGCTGGTTAAAGTGTTCTCTCACCAGGCACCTCTAGTTAGTTCTATGCATTTTTTTTTCTGACTAGGGCTTTTGCAATAATGTCTTGGGTAAATCAGCCAGGTATATGTCTTCCTAATGTGATGCACTTTACAATGAGATTATAGGTTAACTTTAACTAGGTTTTATCTGTTCTAGCTATACTACTAGCACATTTCACTTTCAGAGAGACAAGATATTACCTCTCCAATCTCCTAGGCCTAACACAGCAAACAATTAAAGAACTGGGCCCTTGCTGTTTTAGGGGCACAAAATCACCTCCAAAGCTTCCTTCCCCCATACTTTTATTTAATATCCTTTATTATTGTTTGTATACAGGTTCTACAAGAACCTCACTACTTTACACGGCTTGCTATAAAAACCTTCAAGTAAGTAGCTGGACTCGTACAGAAGAAAACAACTTTTGTTCCTTAGTTCTCTTTATTGGGGAGTGGCAGACTCTTGATCTGCCCCAGAGAGGTGCATGAAAAGCTCTCCAAGCTCTGTCACTTCATCTTCAGCATGGGGCATAGTCCTACTTTCTCTGTCTTCAATAAAATCCCAAAGCCGAACAGAATTGAAGAACTGAAAACAGAAATAAAGAGGTCAGTTTGAGGCATTCTGAGAATGCATTAGATGTCTGCTTTGGGAAAGACTGTACACTGGTATAACTGCAGTCAGGTCAAAAATACTTTATTTTACTTCTCCCATCAAGTTTTAATGATCAACTTCAGAAAAAAAAAAAGGGGGAAGACCAGCTCAGGCTACACCTCAATAAAGGGGTGGGGAATTGTTTCTTACCATTAGCTGGTGGTCATGGTGTGTTGCTCACATATGGAGCAGGCTTTACCAACAGCTTGGGAAGGGGAGATAACACCAGCACTGTTTTCCATACATGAAATGTCAAGTTATTTAGAGAACTGATCACCTAGACAGGTGATATACAGGTGCACATACAGCTGAAATTAGCAGGCCTAACAAACAACCTTAAAGGCATGAGCTAACTAAGCCTGGACAACTCCCTCAGAATGTTTTCTACAATTCTTTGAGTCATGGTCCATTGAGCTGGTCTTAAAACAGATGAAATTAAGAGTTTTTTGTAAGGAGAAGTTAACTCCTGCACATAAGAATATTTTTGCAGCTTAAATGAGGGAGCTGATCCTGCAATACTTCCCCCTGTGTAAATCCCATCAAAGACAATGGGAGGTATGGGTAACAGCTACAGGATCAGGAATTTGCTAAAAGATGAGGTTCTGAGTACAATGAGAGAGTTCCCCCACTGAGCTCAGAGGTCTTGAAAAATGTTAAGTATAAAGAAACTCATTCTGGTTTTTAGGCAAATTCACAATCAGTGTCAAGTTGGGTGCCTAAAAGGTGTTTTTAGAGCAAAGTTCTTAAATTTGCCTCCGTAGAGAGAAATCATGCCCTTCTATAAAAGGGCAGCTTATATTCAAGTGGGGCTTTCAAGCAAATGAATCTGCTTACCCGCACAGTCCCCTCTGAACTCAGCTGTTTTCGTGGTTTCTCAGGTTCAGCTCGTGTCCCATCAGGGTAAGCATGAAGGTAAAGGCATTTTCCTCCAAATGGGCAGGTTCCCTTTCCTTGTTCAAAATATTTGCAGGCCTTTTTCCTGAAAGAAAGAGTAACTAGTTCCTTTAGATGATGGTAAAAATGAAAGCTGTTTCTTGGGGACAGGAGAGTGAACTGAGCAGCTTTTCCAGGGCTATCTACCCATTTTTTAAAATTCCTATCACCTCAGAAAGTGTCTGCATCAGATGACTTCTCCCAGTCAAGCAGGATCAGCTCAATGGTTCCAGAATCAAAAAATACAGTTACTGCAGTGTCTGAAAGGATTTTTTAAAAGCAAAGAGACCTGCTCATCCCTCTGAGGAATACAGTACTGATCTCAGTCCCTGCTGCCCTACATTTAAGCACTCAATCTTTATCATCATAAAGCAACAAAAAGACTCTTGTTCTAGGTGGTGAAGCCAAGTCATGACACTGCAATGATCACAGCAACAGCTGAAGTAGAAAGCTCAGGGGAAGTCAAGTTTACTCCTTCAAAACTACAATAATGGAAACCTTAATAATTATCACATTCAGTTAGTACCTTTGGGGGAGAAAGGAATCCAAAGCACTATTTAACCTTCAGTATAAAATGAAAACAGAAGTTGAGTGTTTTAAATGTATACATATGGTGGGAGGAGGCACTCGGTTTATGAGCTGAATCAATCTCACCAGAAAAGTTAACATAAAACATGCACTTTAACATTGCCACCAGAATAATCCTTCATCTGTGTTTGTAACTTAAGATACCTGCTTTGCTACATAAGAAGTTACATTTCCCAGTAACAGACTAAGACAAAAAGTTGCTCCGATCAGTTTAATGTACTTTATAATTTGGCTAAAGGATAGCTGAAGAACTACATGTCCTTTATGTACTTCAAGTCTAAGGATTTTAACTGAAGTTATGTTATCTATAAATCGGTAACAGGAACATTTCGCTACAGACCTACATGAAGTAAAAATGTATGAAAGCAAGTGCAAATTTTAACTTTAATTGGAGAAATGTAGGTTGAAAGTTTGTTTTTTCAAATACCAATGGTTATATACAATCAGCAGTCAGACAGATTAGTGCCAAATCGTTTTTCCCCTCTTGTACAACAAAAGAATGGTTTGGGAAAATGTCACCCTTCACTTTTCCACACTTGTGTATTTTTCAAAGATCTTTAAACAAACTCCTTTTATGAAGAACAGGAATTGTACTAAAGAGTTCAGCATGCTGAGGAGCTCTACACCTGAACCAATTGAACAGTAGAACTGGTTGAAAAGCCATCATCAAGTGTCCTCTCTCTCCTGCACATTTTTTAAAGCAAAAAGTAGATTAAGAAATTGGAAAAATTTCCACCAGCTTTATTGCTCAGCTGATTCAGGTGAAGCCAGCAGAACAATTTAATGAGCAGCAGACTCTTGACATATAATCTGCAATGGTTTTAAAGTGGTGACACAATTAAGTACTTTGTTGACAATCCTGCTCTTCACAAACAAGCATTCTATTGGAGGAAATCAAAAAAGGAAAACCATGAGAGAAAATAATTTAGATTTACAAAAACAAATATTCATTTATGGTGTAACTCAATTGTTTAAGACCTAACTGTAATATAATGGATTAGGACCAGCTGAACAAGCAGGCTCCATGATACTAAAACAAGCTGTTGTCAAAATTACAAAACAAGCAGAGGTAATAAATATACCTAGTATATTTGGCTTTACAGTAGAAAACAACTGGCCTTGACTTCCTGCTTTTCATTTTCCAGGACTTGCTGCTTTCTTTTGTTCTACCACTGTTTGGTGTGTGTGTGGTTTTTTTTTAAATAAACTTTTAATGAAGAATGACTCTTTTAGAGATTGCCTGCTGAGTTCCTTGGCTAAGAAATGGATATTTTCAGTATAAATAACTTATTTTACATTACTAAAACCTATCAGTAAAGTTTACCTGTGTAAACTGATAATGTTTAAGCAAATTTTTCAAAAAGTTATGTTTGATTACCTCTATATTATCTGTAAGAGTTAATTCCTTGAGAAAACTGCTATTGAAGTGATTTACAGCATGAACTTCCAATTGTCTAAGAGAAGTACCCATCTAACCATGTGTTAAAATGCCTTAATCATATAGAGAGAGAGCCAGGCACTACACTTAACCTTGGATTAAGGCTTCAAATATCTATCCTTACTTTTCTATTTTGGAGTGGTGTAGGGGGAACCTGCAGAAGATCTGAAAATTCAAATTAAAGGCAAACAAAAAATGGTAATCCACATAAGCATGCAGGTAAGCTCACTCAACTAATTAAAATGACCTTGCAGTTGAGGTCACCCAGACAGCTTCAGCTCTGGTCCTCTCTCTACCCAAATCAGACACCAGCCTAACTTCAAACAATGTACAGTAACAGCAACTCCAAAAATGGAGATGTGAGCTAATGAATTCTTCTTAGTAGACTGTGCGCTACTGCAGTAGCATTAAACTGAAGTTCACCATCTTCACAACAAATACTTCTTCCTTCTTTAAGAACATACACAGTTGCTAGAAAAAGACTTTTCTTTTAGAAAACTGTTTGAGACTATACCGTGCATGTATACAAAAGGTTCAACTGGAAAATAGTAACAGTTTGAGACTTAGCACAGATATGTAGGTACTGTTTCTTGTCCTACAAACATTAAAATGATCTGCAAATAATCACTTTTACACAATGGGATTCCTGCTTTTTTTTTTTTTAAATGAAGATCTCAAGAATGTCAAGTCTAGTCTTCTCTGGTTTTGATGGTAAACTTCTTGGGGTTCTCAGGATGTAAATTGTGGGCTTACACCTTAACTGCAGGGGCAGCATTTAATCTTTTTCCAGATATTTGCTAGGCACAGCTCTAACATAGATGTTTTAAAGAACTTTAAAAATCCCTTCTCAGCTTTCAGTTTCCTGTGGCATCAACATTTCAGTAGCTGAGCAAAGAAAGGCCTTACAGTCCAAATGACAGCATTTCTGGAAATGATGTTAAGTAGTGGTTTCTCTAAAGATATGTGAATAGTCCATGCAGTGTTGATATGTTGCTAAAATTAATTTGAACGTAAACAGACAGGTAGTGTCTTTATGCAATTTCTACCAAACACTGTAATGTTCACCCATTTGAAAGCCTGGAAATTCTAAGTATTACCTAGAATTGGGATACAATTTGCGAAGTTGCTTAAATCCTATTTACTTTTAATGAGACAAACTCTTATGTTACTTTTGAAAATTTTACACTGGGTCTTCTAATAGAAAGCTAGTTAGTTAAAACCTTAAGACCCAATACTACAAGGCAAAGTGCTTACTAACTGAAAAATTCACTGTTTAGGCTGAAATTTCCCACTAGTCTTAGCCCAAAGGTGATTTTTTTGTACAGAAAGTGTGGTTAAAAACTATTCTAGCACTTAAATCACCATGCCATACTTTGGATTTGATCATAATGTCACTGATATTTATGCAGTTATTAATGTTGAAATGGAAAACTCATCCCTGTCATATGGGCAATGTACTGTATTCTTAGGAAGAACAAGATGGAGAAAAAAATTAAAAATAGGCTACTTTTTACATGGTCAGCTCTGCAAAAGACTGCAGGACAGACTAAATCTAAATCAAATATAATCTACCAATCTTACTTTTCCACTTCTATTGCATCAGCATTAAGTTGCATTCTCAACTGTCTACAGAGACCCCTGCTGGAAGTAATAAATAGAAACAGCTATCAAGATTTACTTAATAAATACACGCCATGTCACTGTCTTGCCTATCACTCACTATTTGTACCTTTAAAATGAAATAGCTTTCAAAAGTTTACACTTACATGACTAAGTCCAAAATTTAGCTTCTGCAAAACCAAAAATCAGAGAACTGTTTAACACCTGCAACCCCAATATTACAGATACTAGTGAACGAGTCAGGAGATGATATCCAGTAGTTTCATTTTGTCCAGGCTTAATGAAAGAAAAGTGGTGAAATAGGAAAAAATAAAGAATTTCAAAGAAGTAATAATCCAAGAAATTAATGCAGGCAAGATTTTGTTCAATGATTTTAACAGCTTGTATTTGGAGAGAGACTTTTTTCATTCCATGCTTACTATTGAAGCTACTCTCATTAAGTTTCACATGTTATTTTATATCAGGATAGAATTTTATGAAGGCAAATCAAAAGTGTGTTTTGGAGCTGTGTGGTTTGTTTATTTTAAATGAGGTGTTAGTACTTCTTTTGAAGTTTCCCTTTTAAAAAAGCTCATGATATCTAAAAAAAGCTTAAAAAAAGCTTAAAAAAAGCTCAGATCAGAAACTAAATTTGTTTTTGGCTGTGGCAAGCACTAGTTAGCCTTTGATTCTTTTGGGGTCCATAGTGGCTGGATTTTTTGAATTAGATGAATTACAAGACATTCTTGTGGTCTCTTTACTGGCACAAGAACCTCATGGATTCAGGCAGAACTTCTGATCCTGAAGAGTTATGGACCAGGGAACATGGCATTCCCAGGTTGGCATCACAACTGCTGCATCAGGCATATCTTAGAAAGTCTGTCCAATTATAATCCAGATTTATAACATTATAGATATCTGGACGAAAACCCATGCATTTACTAAACGCAGAGTAGATAGGGTGTCACAGGAATCTGGCAAAACCTACTGAAATTCCCAGACAAAATTAAGTTAGAGTTGGTCTTAAAGTTAAGCCTCCAGAACCACAGGAAAAATAAATAAATAGCATTCTGTTTTAAACAAATTGAGAAGACAGGAAATTCTAAATTTAAGTTTAATTTAAACACTTTTTAAATTAAATTAAATGAATAAAAAAGGCACTGTTAGTGTCACCCTAACTGTTAGTGTCACCCTAAGAGTCACTGCTTAACTCTGCCTACATCTACAGTGAAACACCATCCAAAATCAGAAGACCATCCTATGAGCGAAGACATGTCTTCTGCTATAAAAACAAGACTCATGAGATCAACTCAACACTACCACTTCTAAACTGGATATCTGCCCTCTTGTTATATCAAAGCTAGTAGAAGGGATCTCCTGGGCCACTACTAACAGAGACAGTTAATATTTTCCTGAAAGAATGCAAGCAACCCTTACACAAGTGCCATCACCACCCCTTCTCTAAACTCCCTTTCTTGTGAAAGATGATGCTCCCCCATGGTAGGCGAATTGAACAAGAAGTACCCAGGTACTAACATGATGGGTGCTTTGGAAATGTATGTTACGCACTTGTTGACAGTGCCAAGTAAACACCCAGGTTTTTTATGGAACCATTCCAGAACAAGCACTGCAAATAGTGTGTCTCCAGGGGATTAATGCACTTCAGGTAGTATATCATCACTCAGCTTTTAGCATTCCAAAATGGGTTGAAAATTTACTAGCCCAATACAAAGATTTATTTTACCCACGCTTCATATAATGGCGATCAATGATAATGAAAGTAGTAATGATAATTTACCCTCCCATCAAAAAAAACCTCATTTATCACAGGCAAGTGAGCAAGTAGAGGTTTGTTAGGTTGATACAGCACCATCCTTTACTGCATACCTCCAATGGTCTGACCACCAGTCAAGTCTAATTGTTCAATAAAACTTATCACGCATGTAATTATTTTTACATTTGCAGATGGTATTACAACAACAAATCCCTCAACAACTCTGAAGTTTTACTGATTAGAGAAAAAGAAACAAACATCATAAAAGTCAGTTCAGTGACAACTTTGGTTTTTTCCCCTCAACGATACAAGAGTATGATAATCGAGGTAGTTATAGCTGAGTAATAAAAATCAGCAGATGTTATCTAAATGTAGTTTTGGAAAGTGAACAAAAATATCCTCAACAGCCAATTTTGGAAAGTAGAATTATTAACATTCCACCTGGAGCTTGGGGAATTTCTAATTTAATCATGAGGGATATTTTCAGAGGCTATTAGCCTAGCTGAAATGAAAATTAAATTCATGATGTTCAGGGGAAAATCAAAGTTAGATACGAACTCCTTCAACTACCACTGAAGTCACTGGATATGAATAGTGTGTGTGTGTGTACATATGTACACACACACAATTACATTCCATAAGGTATGTTTTGTACAGTATTAAAGAAAACATTTTAAAAAGAGGCTACTGAATACCTTGGTCTACAACCTTTTCAGTTTATTTAACAAAAAATAATTATGGCTAGTGAACTTACCCCACTCCCTGCTTAAATGCCTCAATCAGCTTATTTTTCTTGTTTTGGTCTTCTACCCAGTATACGCTAGGAATTACAAACTCTGATGTCACTCGGCACTGTGGGCAGGATCTTAAATGGGTAATGAAAAGAAAATAAGTGTACATACACCTTGCTGAGAATAGGTATTTCTCAACAACTAGTCATAAACAGCAAGTGGAGAAAGGGGAATTGGATCTTTCATATTGAAGCATCAAAGCATATCATAGCTGATTACAGTGTATACCTGGGGTGGGTAAACTTTTTGGCCTGAGGGCCACATCTGGGTATGGAAATTGTATGGCAGGCCATGAATGCTCACAAAATTGGGGGTTGAGGTGCAGGAGGGGGTGAGGGCTCCAACTTGGGGGGTGAGGGGGGGCAGGTTCTGGGGTGGGACCAGAAATGGAGTTCAGGGTGCAGGAGGGGGCTCCAGGCTGGGGCAGGAGGTTGGGATGTGGAAGGGGTGAGGGCTCTGGATGGAGGTGCAAGCTCTGGGCTGAGGCCAGGGATGAGGAGTTTGAGGTGCAGAAGCCAGCTGTGGGTGGAGCAGAGGGGTTTGGAGTATGGGAGGGTGTACGGGCTCTGGGCTGGGAGTGCAAGTTCCAGGGTGGGGCCAGAAATGAGGGGTTCAGCGTGCAGGGGTGAGCTCTGGGAATGAGGGGTTTGAGGTGCAGGAGGGTGCTCTGGGCTGGGACTGAGGCATTCAGAGGACAGGAGGGGGAAACCAGGGCTGAGTCAGGGGGTTGGGGAATGGGAGGAGGGTCAGGGGTGCAGGATCTGGGCAGTGCTTACTCCAAGCAGCTCCTGGAAGCAGCAGCATGTCCCCACTCCAGCTCCTATGCAGAGGTGCGGTGCTGGCCAGGCAGCTCTGCACTCTGCCCCATCAGGCACCACCCCTGCAGCTCCAGCTCCCACTGGCCCTGGTTCCCAGCTAATAGGAGTTGCGGGGCAGGGGCAGCATGCGGAGCTCCCTGGCTGCCCCTACGTGTAGGAGCGGGAGGGGGGACATGCTGCTGCTTCCGCAATCTGCACAGTTCCATCGCATGCGTGGAGTGGGTGCAAGCCCCCAAACCCGCTCCCTGGCGAGAACTCGAGGGCTGGATTAAAAGGTCTGAAAGGCTGGACATGGGCTGTCGTTTGCCCACCCCGATGTATACTGTACTTACAAGTTTTTATGATTAAAGTTTCAACTGAAGTAAACCAGTTCAACCCAATCAGGTTTGGTCTAAACTACAGTTCAATCAGTGTTTGAATAGAAAGCATGCTTTTCCTGATCAGTGCAGACCATGATTTTTTTCCTTGAAACCTAAGGTATCCAAACCACATTGGACACTTTTCAGGTACCTCAATCCCTGTTCTGTAAAAGAACTACAGCAGCGAAATAGGGCAAAGGAGAAGATTGATACTTGGCCTGTCTACTAAGATTGCAATAAGCAGTCCAGTTTAACTAGTGGTCTTGTGAGATGGACACGTTCATTAGAACCAGATCAAGAACCCAAGTGATTTCACAGGGAACACCTAACAGCCATCAGATAATTTCTAGTGACAACCAACAAGCTGACAAAAGGCTTTTATGTCCCATTACCAGCCCAATGAACCATCCAGTCTTTCAGCCAGAACTTCTTTTAAGATTATTTCCATTCCCTTTTCCTAATATCTTTTCAGAAGGTTGATGAGATCACAAGTAGTTCAAGAGTTTCAGATCTACTTTCTGAAAATGCTGAAAACATTTGTCAATATTGGCTCAGGGGGAACGATTGCGAAAACCATTTGGCAGCCTCATTTCCTGTCACAGACTGAGCTTCTCACAGTGAATGCCCATTGGGAGCATTACTCTACTACAAGCAGCTTCCAATATGCTAAATTTCACTGTAGCAAACTCCTTGTGAAGGACATGGGGAATACAACCCACTTCACTATAAGAATGGAAAATATTTTTCAAAAAGTTTTCCCTGAGACATCTGTAGTTTTCTAAGGAGTTCCAGGGGAAAAGGCAAGTTTCCTCTTTTGTGGTATCAGTTGGATTCTTACATTTTCCTGTATTTCTGTTCTGAAGAGAATCAAGCTTTAAATGCATTTATATAGGAGCTAGAACAGCAGATACGACAAAGGCATTGGCCAAATACAGAATAAATGCATGATCAATAGAGTATCCAAATGAGCGTTCAGCGTGACCATGACAATAGTTAGAATTTATGTGCAATCCAGTAATTGAATGTGTACAAATAAGGTGACAGCAGTTTTCAATTCTTAACTAAGGCCATGTCTACATTTACCAGAGATCAAGGCTGCTGTGATCGATGCTGCGGGGGTTGATTTAGCGACTCTGGTAAAGATCTGCTAAATGGACAGCAGAGTGCTGTCCAGTTGACTCCAGTATTTCACCGAACGAGTAGAGTAAAATAAGTCAATGGGAGAGCGTCTCCCGTCGACGCAGCGAGGTGTAGACACCGCAATAAGTCGACCTAAGCTACGTCGACTCCAGTTATGTTATTCACGTAGCTGGAGTAGCATAATTTAGGTTGACTTACCACGGTAGCGTATACAAGGCCTAAGATACTGTACCTCCTTGGCACGTGGAGTCAGGATTTTCATCACAATCTCAGTATTGGACACATTAGCATTTTTAGGGCCACAGAATTTCTCTTTGTGAACATACTTAGTTTGATATGAAAGTAATAGCATTGCGTCTAGTCAAAAAGTCTATAGAAGAGAACACCTGAATGACAAGCTACAATAGACAGTGTGATCTGGGTGGACATAAGTCCCACTGGTTGACCACAAAGTTAACATATACTTACTTTATGATTAGATTCTCAAACTGTTTGGCACACCTCCACTGCCGGATGCAGGACAAACAGTAGGTGTGATTGCAATTGGAAAGGATTCCGAACCTTCTCTCTGAGGCTGATGGTTTCTCATACACCACTTCCATGCAGATACTGCATACTTTGTCCTGACTTGCCTGAAAGGCAAAGGCCTTCTCCATCTCGTGTTCAAATGCTGCCATGCACATCTAGGTCATAAAACAGAAGCAAAGAGTTACTTTGGGTCTCTGCCATATTTGCACAAGGCTTCTAGCTTGTAAAACACAAATATCTATGAAAGGCATGTATAAAGAAAAAAAAACATAGTACTAGTACACCTATCTCCGTTAAGAATGTAGTTCATGCTTTTTGTTTTATAAAACATCCCCAAAAAGACGTTAAAAGAGCACTAAGGTTGCAAATTCCAGCCCACAAAAAATGTAGATTGCTGTGTAACCGTAATTCACACCCCTTGAGTATGCATTAGGATACAGCCTTTAATTACATGATCACAATCGTTTTTTTCCACAGGGGACAGGCCTTACTCAGTGCACAGAATTATGGTGCTTACTGAATGAGCAGCTTTCAATATTGTTTTATGCTCGTTCACTGTGTGGCCCCAGGCCTTATTATGCACACTATTTAAACCCTGTTCTGAATACAGAATTATTAATTTCTTTAGGGAGTTTTCTATTAAATTCTTCAGGGAGCTCATCACTATGATATCCGAATGCTTCACGAACATGGATTTATTTTCATAATATTCCTGTGAAGCAAGGTGATATTACTTTTCCCAGGCATTTTGTAACTTTTGAGTGCTTGTCTTTACAACCGTAACATTCTGTTAACAATTTTTTAGATGCAATTTCCTAGATGATTTTTCTTTTTTAATCAATCAAAATGTAGAAATTCCAACACGTGGCATCATATTGACACCCCCATAGGTCATCAGCCAGGCTGGAACCACTGCACAGACCTCAGCCAGTTGAACAACAGAATAAATGATAGAAGCAGTAGGGTTGTCATCCTTTGTGTGGGCCAGCACTAAAGGGGGATGAGGGACGCCAGTGGGTTTCATAAGTATTTGTTGACAACAGAGGAATACTGAGACTCAGGAATCTCAGGTTCCATTCCAGATGCTGAAGGGAACTGTATTCTGGTGGTTACAAACCATTCTGCCCCTCCCTCCCCCTGAAACCTGAACTCTCATGTCCACCCAGAGGCTTTTTTCCAGTCTCCCCACTCTGGCTCCTCATTCCAGTCCCAGCCCCCTTACTCAGCCTATCCTTGTCTCCTACCAGCTGCCAGTACTAATCTACTCCCTCCATCTGCCTGGCCCAGATCCAGCTCATGTCAACTGTGCATTCTAATCATGCTGTTCCCGCACTATGCTGCCTCAATGCCAGCAGAGGGAACACTGAGGAGATAGGGGTTTGTCTTTGGCTCTCATTTCCAGTGCCCCATGCCACAGAAGCACACACTAATTGCTGGGCAAAGGACTGCTTGCCCCTCTCCACACACACACCAGCCCTGGACTGGAGCACACTCACTACAGAAGGAATCTTGGAAGAGTTCAGCTGCCAAACTAACAATTCCTTATTGAATGTGTGCAACATGAGATTTTTTTTTTTCCCCAAAGGCTTATAACAAACAAATTTACACTCCCCTCCACAGGAACAACAAAACCACATCCTTAAGAAAGGCAAGCTCCCTGCCAAATTCGAAGCCCTTGCTCCAAAGCAGAGGCCCTAGAGAGTCTCAGCAAAACAGTTGTAAGAATTTTTAATAAATTTTCCCCTCATTTCATTCTCTGAAACAGCTGAATCATTTTTGCTGAAATTTTCCAAAAAAAACTAAGCTGAGGGAAGATACCCAATATGGAAAATTTCAGCCAAACAGTTACAGTTTGGCAAAGTTATAAGCTGCTGAAAACAGGGGCTTATAATGAAAAGTGTTGGGCATTCTTAGCTATATGCAGTGCTACCAGCTCTACCTATAATACAAGTGTATTAAACAGCTTTTACTAACAAAGCTACTGCAAAGCTACTGTATATGCAAGAGAACCAATTGTACTATGAGCAGCTGACTTGCCTCTGATTAATAGATTTGGACGACAAGAGGTACAGAGAGCTCAATATAACTGAAGTGAACTGAGCCCAAAATCCTATCCAAATTGGGACTGGATGGCTCAGGAGAGTAGCAGTGGGATGCAGCACCTTTCCTGACCTCAAATTACAGCTAATATCAGCAGTGACTAGATGTTATCATCTGATTGCACTGTGGTGGACTATGTGAAATGAGTTGGTTGTCTCAGGTCAGTGTGGTCTAGAAGAAGGAGTACAAGTAGAGTTTAGAGAACCTGGTGACCTTTTAGGCATGCTGCAAAAGCCATATGTTTGAGAGGGTTTTTAGAGAGAGTCAAGGGGATTCTTCCCACAATGATGAAAAAGGTGAAAAAGAGTTTCTACAGATGGCTGGCTAAATTCCTGTCGGATGTTTATTTTAATGCAGCTGGTATTTTGTTGTATCGACGACAAGTTTGGGTGCCTAGAGCGTTCAATAGGTCTCTTATTTAATTTAGATTTAAAATAATTAAGTATATACACAAATATTCTATAAAGCACTAAAGTTAGCCTGTAACACACAAGTGTCTGTGGGCTTTAGAACAAGCATATTTATATCATGTTTTAGACCCAAGTTTAAATTATGTTAATCTTTACCTTCTCATGAGCCTTCCTCTGCTCTGGGTCAAAGGGATGAAGTACTTGCAATTCACAGATTTCACACACATCTCCATGGAGGTAAAGACACTGGTCACCAAACTGGCATTCCCCAGCTGCTGCATAGGGACATAGCTGCTGTCCATCAGTATAGGAACTTCCAGCCACTGAATCTTCTTCGAGCCCACTGCAAATAGCTTCTAAATACGAATGGGGCTTCACTTCCAGGTTATCATTTTTGTCACTGCAACACACTGCATCACTCACGGTACTGAGTCTCACCTGTTCTTCACTCAAACCACATAAATCTTAAAGAAAAAGCATAGTATGTAGCATGAAAGACCACAGGAGCATAAAAACAGCAGTTACCTGCTGAATTATAGTTTCCTTGTTAATAGTTAAACCTTTTCACCTGCTGAGCTTATGTATTTAGCAGCTTCAATCTCCAAATTATCCAGCTTTACAGCCTTAAACTACCCACTGTAAAGCTTGAAGATACCAAGTACAGCATATCATGCATTTTCATCTTAAGTATTATAGAAGCTAAGCTAAAACTGCACAGATTTTCACTTAGAACATGTTTAAAGTCCTATTTCACATTTTAAGTGATTGAATTCACTCACCACAATTAACACATGGTCCCTCCACTGACCAACTGAATTTTCTATTTTTTGGGATGGGGGGGAGGTTGGCAGGGGGATATGAGGGGTTTTAACTCTGATACCTTCACCTGTTTCCCCTGCCAATAAGCCTTTTGTGAAATTTCAGGTTCCCCTAGATAACAATTGTCAGGCTCCTCTAGATACGAGATCAGCAATCAGAAACCCCAAACTTCCTACACACATTCATTCTCACATCGTCTCCGACACCATCCACTTCTTCAATTTAAACACAAAGCTATACCCCTCATACAGAAATAAAACAGCTTATGGTGAAAGGAAAAGCAGAGATTATGGTCTATTTACTATTTCTGTTCTCTGACACTGCTATCCAGCTGGCCTTAGCACAGAGGCCCTGGGGAGGAAGACTGGCCAGCAGAGGAGATCTGGGGCTCTGCAGGGCTGCAACAGGGAGGATTCAGCACTGCAATCTCACAGAGGATTGTGAATGGGGATGCACAGAGGGAGAGGTTTGTGGGGGGGCAGTTGGTGAGACCAGGCTGGGTATGTGTATAGTAAAAGGAGGTCTGGGGCAAGTGGGAGCTCAGTCCCTCTGTGCTGGGGCATCAGCAATGGAAGGGCTCCCTTAATGCTGGTGCCCGAGGGGCATAGGAAGGTCATCAGTGGGATGTGTGGGGCAAAAGTTGACTATTTACATGAGTAAAGTTACTAACATGCATAAATGTTTGTAGGATTATGCCCTATCCATGTTACAAATGCAAACACACCCTTTATAGCCATCACTGAAATGGAAGTGATGAAAAGCAAATAATGGAAAGCAACAGAACTACTGCTAAAAATCAGCAAGCCAGGAAAAGTGAAGAGAACTGACATTAACTGCTCCTACTCACCTCTATCCCTAAGCACTAATGTTCTCTTTTTGCGTTTTCCAGGCTCATGTGTTTTGCTCTTGATTACAGGCATGTTATGCTCTGGCAGAGGGTTAGGGCTGTTGAACAATGGTGAAGAAAGGCTGGGTGGCACAGTACCCACTGCACCACCAGACCCAGATGGTCTGGTGTGATCATATCTAAAAACAGAAAACAATGTAATAAAGTGCCACAAAAACTAAGATCTAGTTCAATGCACAATCATTGTTATTCCAGGAAGCTAACAGTTAATGTGGCAAACTCTTGATTTCCACTAATGAGCCTGTTTATTCAATATATTAGCTTATGGATCATGATTTGTTCAGAGACAACATGGATGATGATAATAATACTTAGGATTTCTACAGCACATTTCAAGGATCTCAAAGCACTTTACAAACATTAAGCCTTACAACAGCCTTGCGAAATGGGATCCACATTTTACACAGAGGTTAAGGCCTACATTTTCAAGTGTCCACTCATTTTGGACAACCTGCTGGATTTTAGCTACTCAGCAGCTTTGAAAATCAAGTCATACATCTTTCATATTGGGCACGGAAAGAATGAAGAACCCCATGTCGGACACTTTTGAAAGTGCAGATTTAAATGATTTCTCCAAAGTTGCAAAACAATGCTGAAAGAACAATATTCTTAGAGTGTGTGTTCAATTTAATACTACTATTCCATTACAAAAAGGTTTGCTGACATTTATTCAGATGTGGTAACATCAAAATATTGTGTGCCCTGTCAGTTTATGATCTCTCCTGCTTTGCTAACGGACAGCAGCAGTTACGCTGTGCTCTTATTCACACATACAAATATGGTGTATAGATACACACACACAGAGATGGATTTTTCAAAAGCACCCAAGATTGGCCTAACTCTGCTCCCACTGAAATCAATGGGAATTTTAGTCTATATGAACATGGTGTTACCTATCAGCTCTGTGTTCTTGGGGAATCAGAGCACAGCCTGTCTGACTCACTAAAGACCTTCCCCCCAATCCCCTGCCAGCCTCTGCTTGAACCAAAGCCAACCAGAGGAAAGACTTACAAAAAGCAATGAAAAGGCAGTGGAAGACACACTTAAACCCCTCAGACAAGGGTGACAGGATTAAGGAAACTCCCCTAGCCTCATTTGCATCTAAGATGGGACAAGGAGGCACCTCTATTAGCATACAGAATGGAGAACAGAGATTCCAAGGCAAGAACTGCACTGAACTATGGGACCAGAAAAGCGGGAAAGCACTGCATGATGGGGAATCTCTGCTCCAGCTGTTAATGAACCCACCCCTGCACACACCCAGCTCAGTAGTTATCAGACCAATTCTAGTAATAAATCCTTTATTGGTATCCAAAATACTGAAGCTGCCTGATTGCACTGTGAGCTCTCTGGAAGGAACACAACCCATAGCCAGGAATAATCTGCTCCTATTGTCTAGCCTGAATAAAACAACTTTGGTATATGCCCTTGAGCCATCAGTTTACCCACAAACAAATCTAGTGTTCTCCCTTGAACTATTGTTCTTCCCCTACAAAAACTCCTACCCATGCTCAAGTAAATGCTCTGATGCCTGGATCCAAAATCTGCATCAGTTCCACTGGGACTTCATCTTCTCCTGACTGATTGTGCTGGGGGCTCTGCCTGTCTTCAGCACTCCAGACCCTCAGCTACCACCACCTGGGAACCCTGATCAATTTAAGCTTCACGGAGTGGTGAGAAGCCAGCTCTCTCTCGGTATAGTCTTCTGACCCTGACTTGTGTGGTCAGTTATAGTTTTCTAAACATAACTTTTGTAACCAAATTTAAATTAGATTTAATATTATAACTGTTTTGTTTGGCGCCTCTTGTAGGATTATTACCTGGCAATAAATAATTTTCATGGTTAAGCTGGTTGTTTCTCTCTCTCTCTGAGGCAACGCTCCTTGTACCTAAGCTAAAGATTCCTGCAGCACCCAAAAATCCTGTGGGTTACTACCAGAACAATTGTAATGTGAAAGTGTGGATAGGGGCGTGCTGAACTTGGGGCTTATGAGGGTGGCAGCTTGGAAGTGTTGCTCGACCCAGCCCGATGAGTCCAGGGGCATATAAGGGGTCAGCTTGGGAGTGCTGATTAACCTGGTCCTCTCAGATGCGCTCTGTTAACTTGTGTGTGTGTATTCACCTGATTCTGGAGCTGGAAAAACACAGTCCTGGGGAACCTAGGTCCTGTAAGATAGCTCCAATCGGGAGGGAACTTGCAGAAGGGAGAAGTAGAGCTCCGTATGAGAACACAAGTGACAAACAGTACATTGATAGAATTATAGAGTGTCGTCCCCCCACGGAAGAGTAACCCTAATAAATGAGCGTACCCCAAAGCAACGGGCAAATCTGGTAACAATGCACTGATCTAACTCTAAAATATCTTCATTGGGGACAATGGAAGTAGCAGTTCTCCACCTCAGGGTTTTTCTAACAATTGTATTTAATTCTCTTCAAGTCTGTCACTCGCTTACATGCTGTCCATTCTTGAGCATACTATGAAATGCCATGAACATCAATAGTGCCATACAAATAATACAGTAATGCACACATGACAGATATTGCAACCACATGTATCTTTAGGGACCATTTATATTAAGGTTATGAACGGTTTATGTATCACTGTGGGCCAGGGATTGTATGCAACTCTTACTCCCGGGGGAATTCTGCACCAAAAAATTAAAAATTCTGTAAATTCTGCATATTTGATGTCTCAAAACAACAGTATAATCACAACCGTTTCAATTATTTTGATAATTTATTTCAAAATACCTGTCACCAAGTATGTCTGTAACAATACAGACAACAAAAAAGATTCAGAAAATGTTTGACAAATAGATTCCTTACTAGTCATACTAATACAGAACTTTGAGTAATAATTCATTTAAACTACAGTACAGAACCTTATTTCCCGCACCCCCTCAGAAGCAGTACAAAGGCTTGGGGGAATCAAGGGTAATGGAGGAGCTGAGGGAAAGAGAAGCAATTGCTAGGAAAGAGCCTGGGTATGAACTTGAAGGGTTTTTGGGTATGGGTAGGAAAAGTATGGTACAGGTTTTTTTGCGGGGTGGGGAGGGAAAGTCCCCCATGCAGACCCTGGCTGCCCTTGCCTCTTCCATTCAGTCAGGCACATCTGCCCCATCCCCATGTGTCCCTGCACCTCCACTCAGACATCCCCTCCCCCAACCCCTATGTGGTCCTGCACCCCCTCCCAGTCCCCATGTGTCTGTGCCCCTACTCAGCCACCCCCATGTCCCCATGTGGTGCTACACCCCTCCCTCCTGTCCCCATGTATCCCTGCACCCCCTCAGCCAGACCCTTCCCCTCATCTCCATGTGTCCTTGCACCCCCTGTCCCCATGTATCGCTGTGCTCCCACTCAGCCATCACCCTTCCCCCGTAGCCATGCACCCCACCACCCCCTCCCGGCCCATGTGGCCCTACACTTCCCTGCCCCCCCCCAGCCCTGTGCCTCCACTCCCATTCAGCCCCTGCCCCAGTCTGTCCTCCCCCACTAGTCCTTATGCGCCCATCTGACCCCCCCCAGCAGCCCCACACTGTCTGTCTCCCCATATTCCCGACTCCTGACCCACCCCAACTGGCCCTGTGAAAAAGGTAGGCCTCTTCCCTATTGTAGATGGGACTGGCCTGGAGTGGCTGTTCTGTTCTAGAGCCACAGCAACCCTCTGGTGGGCAAAAGGCAGAACTGCAGCAACTTTTCAGCAGAACCTATTTTCCACACAAAAAAATTAAATATGCGCAGCACATGAAATATGCACATGTGCAGTGACACAGAATCCCCCCCAAGAGTAAACTCTGGGGAGGGTGAGGGTTACCATAGTTCTGTCAGAAACTAAAAGCAGTGGATGATTAAAGTAAATCATTCAAGTTGTGGACAAGTCCAGAGAGGTACTAGCCCCCTCAGGAGACCAGACAAAAAGTGTTTTTGGTATAAAAAGGCTGAATTTGAACTTACACCGGGTCTTCTTTCTGATCCAGCAAAAGGACATGAACTTTTGTCCAAGTGGCCCCAATCCTGCTGAAGGACTGGAAGGACTTTGGCTTATAAGGGCCCCCTAAGACTGACAGATGATTCCTGTTACGTTTCATGTGTGTTTAAACCGGTTTGCTGTTTTTATTATGTGTTCTCTGTAATACTTTAACCTTAAGAATAAACCTGCTTGCTTAGAAAGAACAATTTGGATTACTGGTAAATCACACCTGTTATAGTCCTTAGAGAGAAAGCAACACACAAGCACTGGCCTTTAGGCAGACAGGCTTGCTGGGGATATCAGACCATATGGCAGGGAGCTGTGCCTGGTCAAAAGGGAGTAAGACAAGGATCCTTACCCAGAGACTGGTGATGGCAGGAGTCATGAGAGCTGACTTGGCACTCCTATTTCCCCCTCCATGGCCCATTCTAGAGGTGCAGTTTACCCGGTATGATGGCAAATACATAACATTTAAAGAGCAGTTTCAATTATTATTTGCCAAACACCAGGTTATGTTGATAGGACCTTTAGATAAAAACTATCATATATTAGTTCAAGGCAGCAACATTAAGGATGCCATGGATATTTTAACTTCTGAATTTTCTGACTTGTGTGACTGATCTCCTTATCCTAACCTAGTACAATCAATTTAAAAAGGTAAACAAATGTAAAAAGTTAGTAGTACACATACTAAAATCAAGAAGGATCTCTTATCTTTGCCAGTTCAGTGCATAAACAAAAGGTTACTCACCTGTAGCCAGAGTTCTTGAAGATGGACTGGTCATTCACACTCCTATGCCTTGTCAAAGAGAGCTCTATTTCCAGATAACTCCCGAGAGCAAAGATCTCATCTCCCACTGATGTCTTTAGAGGCCATTTGAGCAGTTCTCATCTGTCCCAATTCAGTTGATCTGCTAGGCATGTAGGACTACGGGGTACATGTTATGATGAATGCACCAGTCTCTCACTGCCATAGCTTCCTTGAAAAGCTATGGGGAATGAGCTCTTCCTTGCTTGTTCACATAGTACATTGCTGCCATGTTGTCCATAACAACTTGAACTGCCTTGCCAGTGAGTTAGTCAAGACGCCCAGCAAGTCACCCTCAATTCCAGTATGCTGATATGTAGCATCATCTCCAAGTGACTCCAATGGCTGAACTGCTGGGATGGGGAACCCACTTCATCCATTAAGCTGGAAGTGTTGGAGGGTAGAGTTGCTGATGGTGCTGAGAGACTGAATGTTGCCCCTTTTAAGATGCTAGATCACACCGCATCCACCATAAGAGGGCAGGGAACACTTACTTTGGGAAGGCCAATTTCAAAACATGCTGTATAAAACAGATAGTACTTTGCTAGCCAATGCTGCAGAGTTTTTGTGAGTGAAGCACAAGGAGTTACACATTGCTGAGGCCATGAGTTCCATCAGTGTGAGAAACAGAATTACTGTCTGGTTGGAGTTCTCTTAAAGTCCGAGCAGAGGAGATTGAATTTTCAGGAATCGTTCCTCTTGAAGGAAGGTTCTTCCTGCTGTAAACCAAACCTTAGGTCTAGGTTCCAAGAATGTTTTTGCATTGCTCACAGATGTCTCCCAAAAGGTACATAGAACGGTGCTGGGCTCTGCTCACAGGAGCCATATTTAGGGCTATACGCTTTTGCGTATGCAAAAGCATGCTCCCACTAGGACTGACTCTGGTAACAGTCACCCACAGGGTTTCATTGTGTCTAGAACTAGGATTTGATGGCTTAGGATCCTTCAGTATCAAAGGTTTTGCTTTCACTTAAGAAGCAAAGTACAGTACTTTCAGCAGGATACACTTTTTATTCTCAGAGTTGAGAGCTGACACAGGCCTCTCAGTACTCACAGAACCAGTGGCTATGGAACTGGAGGGTTTATCTACTAGTGCATCCTGAAGCAGTAAGCTTGGAGCTGATGCTCTTTGCAAGCTATTGGGGTGAAGGTGCTGCAGAATGAGCGCCATGAAGGTGGTTGACCTTCCCACCAAGCAAACTGGACGTCACAGATGGGCGTCCGAAGTGGGAAACACAGCAGGACAAGAGGCATACCTCTTAAATCCTACCCACTTCCCCTTTGGGACCACCACAGTATCTGCACACCCACACCAACGTGAGTGAACAAAAATTAATTAAAATACTTTATAAAGAAAGCACGCTAACATTTTTAACATTAATGCTAACTTCAAAGTGGTCAGATGCAGGATGGATCAACCTGGAAAGGTTCCTACTGATTAATGGTGCATGAATTGTACTGATATCTGACAACAAGACAATATTTTAATATCTATGGCACCGCTTGTTTAAGGAACTCAAAGCATCTAGTAAGGGGAGATTATCCCTATTTTACACAGAGGTTAAGGCCTAAACTTTGTATTAACAACATTAACATTTCTATCACACAAATCAAGAAATTCAGCATAAAAGTTCCACAGCAACCTTAACTCAGTCTCCTTTTTTTCCACAGAATCCAAATGAATAACAGTTAGGCATAACTCTAGAATTTATTATTATTTGTACTACAGTAGCAGTCAGAGACTCAACTTAAGCCCAAGCCACCACAGTATTCAACACTACAAACATGAGATGACATGGTCTAACAAAAAGGAACTTGCTGTCTTAAAAAGCCCACCACAAAACTTAAGGATAAAAAGCCATACGATCATTACGGTTCATGCAGAGCACAAAGATACAAAACCAGGAAACTGCTGAGTCCCCAATTTATTCATCAGGAGCGCAATGTTTGCCATTCATGTTGGTTTTATAAGCTTTTCATTATCTTACTCTTGTTTATAAACATACCCAATGTATCTTTGTTGCTGTGGTTCCTTTATTTCCTAGAGTGTAAAAACGTATTGTCTGCAATCACCTTTTCTAGTTGTGGGAAAAACACACTATACTAGAAGAGTGGCAATTTTTACCTGCAGCGAGCTCCATAGGCACACTGTCCTTTCTGGTAGTATCTGCAGATAGTAGAGGGTTTGCTTGTAGTTAAGTCATGTGAAAACAAACACCTGCTTCCTTCACGACACACCCCTTGCATATAATACCTGAAGCGATAAATGGTTACAACCACAGAGATCTGTTACATACTGTAAACTAGGACAAACACTTATTTTCTAGAGAAAGGTTTTGAAGAGCATTTCTCTCTCAGTCCTGCCCTTTGTTCTCCATTGCAAGAAAAACCCCAGGTAAAGGATTACACCTGGGGAAAAGCAGTTCTCTTAAATTTCCAGCTAGAGTTATGAGTATAATTAGCCACTTTAATCACATTATGCAACACTTCTGGTTGACACTTTCCTAAAAGGTCCTATTGGTGAATCACTAAATACTTTTAAATATGTGTAGCTGAAACACATAGATTCTTGGTCACTAAAGACAAGACATTGCTTTTTGCATTTGTTTTTTTAAAAAAAGGTAGCAACAATGAGCACTACAAAACAATTAAGCAGAGCAGAAATACAAGATAAACTATTATATAGTGTTATTTTCAATTCTTCATCCCCATGTAAGTTTTTAAACCAGCAAACAGTATTATAGTAAATTGACAATAACGACACAATGCAAACACTGGTCTCTCTAACAATTTGTTTTAACGAACTCTGTTCTGCAAGTTGCTCAGAAGATGGCCAGATGCTAAAGGCACAATACGCTGGGAACTAAAACCAAAACAACGAAAAGCACCACTCTGCAAATTCCAGAGGAAAAGACAAATCGTTGACATTAGGGAGAAACAAACCCCAGCCCCGTACGCGTTACGGGTTATTTTGCATCATGTACCTGAGCTTATAGAGCCCGGCAACCTGACAGGACCTGACTGCAAGCGTCGGATTCAGTCGAGTCGGGACTGCAAACAACCCGACCCTCTGGGCTCCAGTCCCCTCCTTCGGCCGCTCTGGGCTGGGGTGCTGAAGCGAGCTCGGCTCCGCTCCGCGCCAGCGACAACCGGCCAGCTCGCTCCGAGAAGCGGCGGGGACGCCCGCCCCGCGCCCGCTTGGGAACGCGCTCGTTTGCCCGGCCCGCGGCGACGTCTAGCAAACCGGCTCGACGAGGCTGAGGGGCCCGGGCCGACGGGCGCCCTGTACACAGCCGCGTTCGCTGGCCGTTTCCAGGCAGCCCCGTACAGGCCCGCGCGCCGGGCAGCGCGCCTCACCTCGCCTCGCCTCGCCAGGGACCGGCTGTCCTGGGGCTCCGGGCCGAGCTCCGGGGGTCAGGGCCTGGCGCCGCGCGGCCGGTCGGAACAACGGCAACCCTTGGGCTGGGAGGCGCCATTTCCAGACGCTGCGACACCAGAGCGGGTCGCCCCGGAGCCGGCTCTAGCTGCGGCCCCGCTGGACTCCTGACACGTAGGCCCAGTGGGGCCCCGCACCCAGAGCCGCGGGGCAGCGAACGAGCGAGTCCCGGTGTCTCCAGGCGGCCTGGCACGATAGCGGGGCAGGGGTCGAGGGCCGTGCCGGGACCCGGCCCCAGAAGCTGCGTCGCCCCCGCTCTCACCTGCAGGTCACCTCCTTGGTGCTCATGTCTTCGCTCCCCGGCCGCTCCCGCAGGCAATGGACACGCTCCCCCCGCGCCGCTCGCTCTTGGTTGGTTCCGCAGAGCCCCGGGTGAGGGGTGGAGCCGCTGGGACTCTCCCCCGGACTCCTTCTGAGGGAACTAGCGCCTACTGGGAAACTATTCGCGGGGGACTTAGCCATAGAGACAGAGGGAGGGGCCAGAGCGTCCTTCCGTGAACCATAGAGATACAAAAAGAAAAGGAGTACTTGTGGCACCTTAGAGACGAACCCATTTATTTGAGCATGAGCTTTCCTGAGCTACAGCTCACTTCATCGGATGCATACCGTGGAAACTGCAGCAGACATTATATACACACAGAGACCATGAAACAATACCTCCTCCCACCCCACTGTCCTGCTGGTAATAGCTTTATCTAAAGTGATCATCAAGTTGGGCCATTTCCAGCACAAATCCAGGTTTTCTCACCCTCCACCTCCCCCCCCCCCCAAACTCACTCTCCTGCTAGTAATAGCCCATCCAAAGTGACCACTCTCTTCACAATGTGTATGATAATCAAGGTGGGTTTTTAATTAATATTAAAATGAACACTAGCTCTTTAAGAGGATGTCCAAACCTTATGTCTCCAGTTACTAGTTATCCTAACAGTGAGTGGTTAAGTGGGCTGTCATTCTGAATGACATCACCGAATAACATCCATTCCTAATCCAGTGATCCACCTGCTCCGGGTGAGATTGTGATAGGCAGCAAAATAAGATCGTTTCAGAAAGCTTCCCTGTATTTGCACAAGTAGTTGGCTGAAACAATGCAGTCCTTGGACTCAGAGAAAGGCTTAATCAAGTTCAGCCATTGTAAGAAGGACATATTTTGTTCCTATGTGCCCAAGCTGTGCCCTGTTTGTGGGCAGAGTCTAAACTACAGGAGACTGGAAGATGCACCTGTCAGCATTCCCAGCCCATTTGTCAACGGGCATAGGCAGAAATGTTCATTTTTACTTAAACCTACTACAGGAACGTTTCTTAGGTATGGATATTTTGTTTTGTTACCATTGCTAAATGAAGTGTTTCTAAATGTTTGCTTATAGCATTTGCTTATGTTAATATGTATTACTGCTTCCAGTGACCTGATCCTACAAGTAAAGAGTTCCACCAAAGCCAATGGAACTACTCAGGTGTGTAAAACCTACCAGATTAAGATCTTGCAGGATCAGGGAAACTCCCAGTTAATTCAATGAGAGTTTTACCTGAGTGGAAACTGAGTAAAATCCTCAGGATTTGTCTCTGTCATGGTAATTTTTCTAATGTGTATCAAACTGAACATACTGTGTATGTATATACACAAGAACATGGCTTTTATTTTTTTAAGATTCCTTGGACCATACTGTATTATTGATTACATAGGGGAGTTCTGATTTAAAATCTTATATAAATTATATGACATTTTATTCAGACACTAGAATTAAAGGTGATGTTGAAAGATTCTATATATGTAAAACAATGAGTTATACATGTATACCAGTTTTCTCCTTTAGAGGGAAAGATGCCAGTGTTTATTACTTTTTAAAGAATGAGTTTTCAATAAAGTCAAACTGAATGAAGTTCCTCTCCCAGAACCTCCTTCCGTCAGTTTTAGTGTCAGAAACAGGCAATCTGGGCCTTGATTTTTCATCTATGAGTGATCCAAGGCTCTGCAGTGTGAGCTGTACACTATGATTCTGGGCTCATTGTTCTGCTCATCCCTCCTTTGTTGCTGGTGACCACAGCAGCATGTGTGTTTTTCATTTAAATAAATTTTTCTTTTAAAGATAAACTACCTTTGTTAAGGCTAAACGTGCTATAATCTATTAAAATTAAATTAAAAAAAAAACACAACACAACAGGCATTACATGTTTTCTGCCAAAGCTTTAAAGAAAGTCAAAGCACAGAACTGGTGGAAGTCACTCACTAAGTACCTGGGCCCCGTTTGCTAAAGTGCAATATGAGCTTGTAACAGCGGTTGCCTCTTCTGCAGATGGAGAGAAAATGTTTTCTTCATTCCAGTTTATTCAACTAGTTCCTTGCACTGACTAGATCAGTGGTGGGCAACCTGCAGGCCGCATGCGGCCCATCAGGGTAATCTGATTGCGGGCCACAAGACGTTTTGTTTATGTTGACCGTCCGCAGGCATGGTCTGGGCCAATGGGAACTGCGGGGGGCCATGCCTGCGGATGATCAATGTCAGCAAAATGTCTCGCGAACCGCAATCAGAGTACCCTGATTGGCCGCATGCAGGCCGCAGGTTGTCCACCATTAGACTATATCATTCAAAGTTGAAAACCAACTGGGAGTTGAAAAAGTAGGAAAGTTTGTTTTTCTCTCCAATCTATGACTAAAAACAAGGAGAGAGAGGATGAGATCTACTATAGGCATACAGCAATTCTCCAAAAAGGGCTATATCTCAGGAGTTTAGTGTACCCACCCTACACACACCCACATCATATATAATTTGAAGTCTTATGTTGTTTGTTTAGATGAGGTATGATTTGGAGATGTCAAGGGGTTCCATAAGTCCGTACGTGAGATGAAACGATGGTATAAAAAATGATAGCGTCATTTTTGTACTGTTCCAGGAACACTGCAATATGACTGACTGTAGTTTTTACTGTTTAAGTTAAAATTAACACCTTAATGTTATTGGTCAAAGCTACCAAACAAAAATCCATTACAAGATTTTTACTGATTTTGCATGGACAAGTATTTTTTTTTTTTTTTAGAAATTATGAAGCTGTTTAGCATGTGGCAAAAATGGTGAATATCAACATTTGCAGTATACTAATATGAAATGTTTCCATATTGCATGTTCTTAATTGTCAAAGTAGCTTACAAATTATTACCATAGTTTTCTATATTTTCAGTTGAAATTTGCTGACCAGATTAGTCTCACAATGAAGGTTGTGCACAGTAGGAGTAGATTGTGTCCTCACAGTTTATACTGCATAGTGGGTAGATATAAATATATATGAGTTCCTAATATAATGCTTTTCCATTTGTTAGCTTTTGTACTTACAATGTAGCTGCTAGTCTGTCTGGTAGGCTGTTTTAATATGTAACTGCCTGTGCATGCAGTACTAACCTTTGAAATATTCTAGAAACTAGCTTTTTAATTCAGTGACACCTAAGTATTAGTGTTAGATAACAATATGCAGCTTCCTACTGAGATTCAATCAAAATGTTTAGTAATCAAAAATGGCAATTTTGATACTAACATATATCTACTTTAACATAAGTCTGTATACTTGTACAAGATGAAATATGGTGGTGGTAATGCCAGCAATATACTTTGGGCATTTTACCTCTACAAGAAAGTTATAGTATATGAAGACATGAAGAATACAAGCCCTTTAAACCATCCATCAAAGAGAAAAAGACTCTTCACAAACTTTGAAAAATGTGTTATTTGTCAAGAAAAATCAAAAGAATGCAAAAAACTGTCAAAAGCCACCAGTCTTGGACAGTATTCTGTGATGCTGGCAGCAGAATCTAGGAGAGATGAACTGTACTGGAGACTACTATATGAGTCTTGTAGTTTAGATGATAGGCCACCAACACTATCACAGGGATTGCTTTCAGAAATACATAAGTAAGTGGAATTTGGCACATGTCAGAGTTGTACTGAATCCAGAAAAGAAAACTCTGAATCCGACCAGAGAACATCAATCGTGTTCAATCTGCTTCTATAGCTACCAGAGTAAACACATCCTCCAGTGATTAGTCCAGTTGTATTGTTCACTTGAGAAAACCACACAAAAAATACAAGCAACTTCATAAAATAGAAATATTTGAGAAAGCAACCAATCTAAGGGAGGCAGCACTTCAAAGAGGAAATGATGACATGTTGCAGAGAATATCTCTGGAAGATTTGATTGCTAAAATGCAGTTTATCACTCTACCTGCCTTTCTTCCTATGTGAGTAAAATGAATCTTAAAGCAAAACCATCTAGTTTCTCTTCAACAATACAGTCCCCTTATGATATTTCATCAGCTGATTGAAGAGATAAGATCATTGTCTATGTACAACAAGAAGGCTCTTCTCCTGTCCTAGCTATAAAGCTCTACTTCCCTCAGACGTAGAAACTGCAAGCTATTCCAGTAGCAAATTACATGCCAGATTAGAAAAAACACTGATTCTGCAATTTCATTCCATGCAAAGCATGGACAAAGCCAGTCAACCATTGTTCTAGGCTATGCAATAATATTAGCTGACACTACTCAAGTTGCTAGTAATCTGAAGCAGAAACTTAAATCATCCAACTGTTTTATGGATGTTGTTCTTCCGAGTGGGCCTGATGAACAGCTTTCAAATTAACAAATAGTTTTGAATAATGCCACTTCAATCCTTCAGTCTGATATAGCCAAAATGAAAGCCTCAGATTATTACTCAAAGCTAGGTAGTTGTAGTTTACAGTGATCAACTACTTTTGTGCCCCACTGGTGCAGGAGTTTGTCCTTTGATAGATAAAATGAGTATCATCCTTCAGAAGACATTCAAAGAAGGTGCCTCTCAATTGCGGAGCGTATAGTATTTCACAGTTCCAAAATTATCACATCACTGCTCATAAGTAAGACTGAGAGTCTGTCATGGAAGTCACAGATTCCATGACTTTTTGGGACCTCCGTGACTTCTGCAGCGGCTGGTGTGGTTGACCAGGGGCCGCTTGAGCAGCTCAGGCAGCCCATGGGACAGCCGCACCAGCTGCTGCTGGGGCAGTCTCAGGCCACCAGGGGTGAGGCAAGGGGTTGGGGCATGGGTGAGGGCTCTGGGTGGCATTTACCTCGTGGGGCTCCCTGGAAGCGGCAACATGTCCCTTGGCTCCGTCCTAGGCTGAGGTGTGGCCAGACAGCTCTGTGCACTGCAGCTGCCCCAACAGCTCCTATTGGCCATGGTTCCTGGCCAATGGGAGCTGCAGAGCCAGCGTTCAGGGTGGGGGTAGTGTGCAGAGCCCCACTGGCCGTGCCTCTGCATAGGAGCTGAGGGACATGTCGCTGCTTCCGGGGAGCCACGCAGAGCCAGGTAGAGAACCTTCCAGCCCCACCAACCTCTCGCCCCCTAGCAGCTGAGGGGTCCCAGGCTATGCACCATTGCCCACCCCTGCACCCAGAGCACCTGCGGCACCCTTGGGCCACCCCCTGTCCCAGAGCACCCAAGATTTAGTCAGGGGTATATAGTACAAGTCATGGACAGGTCACGGGCCGTAAATTTTTGTTTACTGCCTGTGACCTGTCCATGACTTTTACTAAAAATACCTGTGACTAACACGTAGCCTTACTCATAAGTCTTGCTGCATAGCTACACTATGAATTTGGGTCTCAATTTAATTGACATACTACACCTTAATGGCTTCTGCATCAATTACTAGTTCTGCAAAAACTGACTACAGGCAGGTGTGTTCATTCTAAATGGAATTGTATCACTTCATGCTGGTGGAAATCTCATTCATGAAGGAGATGATAATATAGACATCAACACAGAGATAACTGATGGGAAGAATACCTTCCATTCAATGGCTAGAGTGGCATTTCAACAACAGTCTGCAGATAACGAAGCATCACAAGACATATCACTGAAGCATGGGAAAAAAAAGTCACTTAGCTCTCCATGGACAATCAGAGTCTCTTATACAGTGCGCAGTATTTGAAAAACCTAGAACACACCCCGAACCAACGAGCCATGAAAAAAATACTTGAGAAAAATCAACTGTCTGTAGTCAGAACAATCTTTCCTGCACTGAACTGTGTACATGCCCAGACAAAGACTGTGGTAACCCATGCACACTTAACAAAGATCATAATGATGAACAAGATGATGACAATGATGTTGATTAGAAATGTCACCAGCACTCTTACATTTCAATGATACCTGTGCAAATTAATTATACTTTGTTTTACTCTTTAAATTATGGTTGTGTTGCTCTGAAATCACAAAAAAAAATCCAATTTTATGTCTTGAAATAATACACAGAGTCATGAAACTTACACAAATGAATGCAAATATTTTGAAGATGTCATTTAAACACGTTGTCACTGTTTATCCCAAATCTATGATAACGGCGTCACTGGACCGCTCCATAACATACCTCATCTTAAAGTAGACATATTAAGCTTTCAAATGATGTGCATGTGCATAGGGAGGGTACATTAAATCAACCAAATAGGTAGTATCTGCCACTCACCTACTAGTCCTTTAAGATTTTAGAACATGATGGCCAGAAACTATCAGTTCAGTTCACTAAACTACAGATATACTTCCTTGGTTTGATAAATCACTTTATTTCTTATGTATCCAGCATATTTAAGGTAGTTTTATTTAACTATTTAAACAACTATTAAACTGTTAAAAACAAATTTAAAATGCTGTTTTTGTTCATTTTTAATTTAATTTGAATTTCCATCCAAATGCAGCCTGACAAATCACAAGTAAAATATTATCTAGTAAATATATGCATCATTCACCACTTTATAACATAATAAACATGTAAAAATTAAGAAGCTGAGTAAATGTATGTCAAGCTATATAATTGCTTAAATAGATGTATCTAGATGTACTTTCTGGTTAGCAAAAAGTAGTACAGTAGAACCTCAGAGTTATGAACACCTCGGGAACGGAGGTTGTTCATAACTGAAATGTTTGTAACTGAACAAAATATTATGGTTCTTTCAAAAGTTTACAACTGAACATTGACTTAATACAGCTTTGAAACTTTACTATTCAAAAGAAAAATACTGTTTTAATCATCTTAATTTAAATGAAACAAGCACAGAAACAGTTTCCTTACCTTGTCAAATTTTTTTTTTTTTAAACTTTCCCCTTTTTAAAAAAGTAGTTTATGTTTAACACAGTACTTGCTTTTTTGTTTGGTCTCTGTTGCCTGATTGCATACTTCCAGTTCCAAATGAGGTGCGTGGTTGACCAGTCAGTTTGCAACTCTGAGGTTCTCCTGTACTGAATTACACCAACCAACGAGAATCAACCTTTCTTTAGGAAAATAGGTAAAGAGTACAGATGCGAAACAAGATTAAAATTGATTATTACATAAAAGTTTTCTGTTTGTTGATTTAAATCATGATTAAAATTGGTGATTTAAATGAGTTATTTAAATCAGTCCATCCTGTTTTGTCCTAATCAGAGATGAGTGAACTTGTTTGGGTAAAATAAAACCAAACCCTGAACCTTTTCTGGGAATGAAAACATTTGTCTTTTAAGTTTTTCATGGTGGTGGTTGTTCATTTCCATTTGCTTGTCCCCATCCTGGTTTTAGTCGGGATCCAAAATACCAACAGAGAAAACAGCCTTTTCAGGTTATTTTTAATAGGCCAGAAGGGGAAAGTGGTAGAAATTTTTGCATACCAGATCTAAAGCCAAGCAATATTTACAAGAAATAACATATTTTCAGTCATGAAAACATTCCCGTTTTTCTTTCAGAGAGTATGATGGAAGCTCTGATCTCCATGTCGGAATAACCAATACTAATGGTAATACGGGCTTTGCAATTAGTTTATATTCTTTTTAAAAATGTTGTGCATCTCTAATGTTTCTCCACTACCTTACTAGGATTTGCACTGTATATTTAATATTTGGCTTTCCTGCTCTCTACCCTCCCAAAACGACATTTGGGGCTAAAGTAGTCTTACTGCCTGAGAGCTGAATGGCACTCATTTCCAAGCCAGTCAATTCTACATTGCTATGGTTGTTGGATCATATTAAAGAAGTTCTGTATTAAAATCACAAATGAGTTTGATTCCCCATAGTTTAAATTCCAGGGTATTACTAATTAAGAGGTCTCTTGGTTTTTGGTACTGTTTCTCTCCTTCTATGTGTGAAGCTTGCAAGCTGCTAATTGCGATAGTACATTCTAAGACAGAGTCTGTTCTCAAAGCAATTCACACAGAGAGAGACTCAAAGCAATACTCTGTAATAACAGAAACAGAACCCAGAGACTCCCCACCCTTTTGTTGTATTAACAATTGTGATTAAAATAGAGATAGAGGATGTATGTGGATGGATGCTTGGTGTGGATAACAACTGAATGATCAGGAGGTGTCAGCCTAAGAATCCAGTGTCTATCGGCTGAAGAAGGCGTCAAGTGGAAATAACCAGAGGACCCCCCCCTCCCCCCCCAGAGGCAGACTGGAATCCACCCAACAGCCTCAAGGACGGGAGAACCAAAGAACAAGATAACATCTAGCAGCACGGAGCCGTCAGGAATGTGCTATCTGCTGATAGATTCAGCAACAGCATGATGAAACAATTCCCACAGACTAGCCTAGGAATAAATTCCTATAAAAATAGACTCTAGAAAGTGAGAACTTTGGGGGGTCTGATTCTGCAAACCAACTTCCAGGAGCATCAGATGAGCATCTGACAAGGCCCTGCTCCCTCCTCATGTCCAGGCCACCTGGCCAGTGGCTTGGCATGAGTAACTCTAAGGCTGGTAACTATGATAACAACCTTGCAGAACCTTTGTGTGTGTGTGTTTGTATGAATGAATGTGTGAATAAATATGAGATTGAATGGAATGTTATAACTAACTGCTTACTATGATTCTTTCTGTAGTCACAATAAATGTGGTATTTTGCCTTTTTCCCTTTAATAAGATCCTGCTGGTTTTTAATTTATTGGTATAACATGGTGACATATGAGGCTTGCTGTTAAAAAACATCCTCCCCTTTACTACAAAAGACCTGCAAAGAAATCCTGGCCCAACTGAAGTTAATGGAAATTTTACCATTGACTTTAATGACGTTAGGATTTCACCAAGACCGAGAATTTGAATCCAGGATTCTGTCTTGACCCCGAACCAGAACCATTTATTATCCTCCCCAGACCCCACAAATTTTGGAAGTATGGACAAAAATGGAACCCACATTCAAAACCAAGCACAGCCCCATTTTGTCCATCTCCAGCACAAAGAACTAACTAGGCAGCCCACTGTACTATGGCCTTTTAATGAGATTTAACTATGCTGAATTGTTGCTGCTGATTTTTAAGCACATACTGATCTTAAAGGGACAATTGTTAAATTAAAAATATTTTTTAAAAGTCCTTGCCCACATGCTATAATCCCTCTGATTATTAAAATTATAGAATTTTAAAAATCTAATTTATCAGTGTCAGTGCTGTTTACTTTTTGCATTTTTTCCTCATCTTGGACAATGAAAATAGATGTCAGTTTTACTTTAATTTATAGTCTCTTTCTGGATAATTTCAATTTCATGTACTAGCACCATGCTGCCATATTAGGGTTGCAAACATGGCAGAGGAACAATAATTTAGTTTAAAAGAGAATGTTTCATCTGGAGTTTAAAGAAAACCTTTTGGGTTTAGGTTTTGTGAAAGGTTATTTTTCAGAATCTAAGGTTTTGGATCAAATTTATTTTTCCACTGATTTTTTAACAAATGCAAAGTGAAATTACAGTATAAAAATGCAAACTGTTTCATGATCAAGATTAGACATGTCATAATATGTTGTTTTAGGGGGGAAACAGTAATCTGCAGGCTGTAGTAATTACTGTACTGTCATGAATAATGCCATTAGGGAAAGCAATATTGTTGTAACTAGCTGTCTCATCTTATAACAGTGGACTTTTATTTCTGATTCTCCTCCCTTGCTGACAATCTGCTGCTTATGTTTCCAGGGTTGGTGTATAATTACAATGAAACAGGCATTCATAGAGTTGAACTTGGGTGGGAGCAATGCATTAGTATCCCACTAATGCAGCCAGACATGTATGGACTGCTTGAACAATGGGATAAGTACCTAGAAGAATTCTCTACGGGAGAGGCCTGGTTTTTTCACAGGTATGTTGTTTAGCAGATAGATGTACTAGAATAGTAATTATTAAAGGATGATGAATTGGGATATTCAGCTTTGGATTCTGCTAAACATGTGGTTCACAGCTGAGATTGATTTACCCAGTCATACAGGAGCCAGTCTGAATAACTCCTTCCTACAAAACACCACTTGAAAATCGACACCTTTGTTAACAGAAAAGGGTATTTTGAGGTAATTATTGAAGTAACAGACAACGCTGATGGAATGCAGAACCTCTACAGCGTATTAAGGTCAATTCTTTAGCAATGTGAGTTTGTGCACTACTGATAACATTCTCCTCACCAAGTCATGGCTCCTGAAGAATGTATGGTTGGCTGTGGAAAGAGAATCACTGACTTTTCCCAGTTCTGTAGTCAAAGAATCACTGGTTATGGGATTCAACCCTCTAGCTACCTTTTGATCTACAGGGTAAAATCCTGACCTCACTGAAGTCTATGGGAGCTTTGCCATTGACTTCAGTGGAGTCAGACTTTCATCCACAGTGTACATCCAGATGCGTACTTCATGTCAATAGTCAGAAATGGAAAAAATATACTATCAGGCTTATCTCCAGCAGTTCCAGCTAGTTTGCAATGTTTTCCTTTTGCTAATTAACTAGGGAAAGACGTCAGCACAAAACCATCATGTTCGGCATAGAATGCTTCATTCTTTTTAGGTTCCATAGGGGCTGATGGCTGACAACAGCATCATCAGTGATGTGGTCAGGCTGGAACATGCATGTCACCTCACCAGGCATACAGGCAAACAACAAACTTACAGCTTCAAAGGAGAAGGCTGATGCTCTAAATGTTCATTTTAAAAAGTGAAATTACTAAATATCCTATTTGGGCCCAATTGTGTGAAACGCTGAAGTCAATGAGAGGACACTTGGTATTTTGTAGAACCAAGCCCAATTTTAACCACTGTATGTTTGGCTGCTGTAGTGGTGTATTTTAACATTTCTTTTTGAGTCTTCCTTGTCTTTTTGGCTGAAATCAAAAGGATTTGATTTCAAGTTAAATTTTCAAAAGCAACTAAGTGACTTCAGAAAATGAGTCCCATTGACTTCCAGTTAGTCTGGCACTTTTTAAATTCCCACTCGTAAGTGTTTCTTCTTAAAAGTAATTTGATGTCAAACAAAATGATGGTGGAGAGACGGTTAGGTATTTACACTTTTTCTACAAGCCTTTTTGATAGCAAGAATATTTAATTCCTAGACAGCTTACTCACAAAAGTGACCTACTAGTCCCAAGTATGCCTGCAGTCACTCTGTCCATGCACACCCAATCTAAATGGTGACATATTGAGCTTTCTAGATATTCTAATAGTATAGATAGCAATTTTACACAGATTTTTCAGATCATTCACCAAAACTATGCAGATTCAAACACAAATTTTAAAAAATTGGTCCTGCGTTAAGTTTTTTGTAGTGAACTAGTTTTATTACTGCATTTTGAACCTCAGCAAGCATTGGGCCAACTAGTTCTAATTCCTGTTCTTTAATTTGCTTCCAAATGACTGGCAGGCATACAAGCAAAGTCTTGAAATGGAGCTGAAGCAAATTAATTGACTCACTGACAAAAAATGTTTTTCTTGAACTTACTTTAACCAAAAGTAAAGATCATTATTTTAAATTGTTCTAAAATCTGCGTAACCTTTGAAAGTAGCTATAGAAGTTACATTTTACCTTTTTGTTATACAGTCTAGTGCTGTGATGACAAAGTGTATTTTCTGCTGATCCAGATTTTGTGCTCCCCCTGCTGCAGTAACTGTAAGCCACTGGTTTTGTCTGAGACCGATAATATTCATTTACGGTTTTGGTTTCTCTCTCATTATTTTCTGCATGATTCTAAAGACAATGTGTGATTTGTAGCCATTATAATTTTATATCCTAAGAATTTAGTTCTCTCTCAAACAATAAAGCTTAGATGACTATAATGTGTTAACACACCAACTATGTGAATGATCTTGGGCTTCAGCATGAAAAATCTGATTTAATATGTCCCTTCCCAAGACCTGAAAGAAAATCAGTCATGCTTCCAAGTTACAAATACAATACAAAGATCCCAGGAGTGGTCTCTACTGGGATCATTAGATATCTGTGGAAAGCAAGTAGAGGCAGCAAGTGAAGAGTAAAAATGTATTCCAAGAAATATTTGTGATTTCACTGAGAGCAGCTCCTTAGGAAAAGAATAAAATCACTGTCTCTGAACTCAATTTTTAAAATAAGCCATGTTGTCTCAGCTTTCCTTCTAAATTAAAGGTTATAAAACATTTGTGGGAAAGACTTGTGTTGTATTTTAAGAGACCCCACATACTTTGTATATTGCCTAGGAATGTAGAGGAGACTATAAAATACCTAAATTCCCTCTTTTAATTTAAATTAAGTTATCTGCGTGGGGACACTAAACTATACCTTGCTTTTTATTGGAAGAGTCTGTAAAAATTAGATGCAATGAATGGTGCCTTTCTGCCGTTTTTTTTAAATGGTATATATAAATGCAAGAAAGAGTAGGAGTGGCAACTGAGTCAGACATAGATATCCTCCAGTGGCTTAAGTTACAGGCAACTTTATTTTTGCTAATACCAGGCCATATTTCCCATTCAAAGGTGGTAATCTAAAAACACATTCAGGGCCATCCTTAGACATATACAGCATACATTTGCAGTGCCCCTGGGTCTTAGTGTCCACCCGTCTGCCTCTTCCTATCCCTGTTCTGACCCTTCCTGCAGGCTCCCATCACAACTGGCTGCTGCAGCCTGGTGAGTCTTCCTCCAGAGGGGATCTAGTACTTAAAAGTGAAAAAGCCTTCCAGCCTGCCAGACCTATTAACACAACATTTAAACTGCTAAAGAGCCATTCAAGTGGTAATGAAGCCCTTTAGCAGGCATTTGCCAACCCCCAGGTATATACTGTCAGTTTCTGAATTTACTGACAAAAACAGCTGTGCATTACTGTAATATTTACTCAGAACATGTTAGTCTATAGGACCTTAGTTTAAAATTTGTTTTCAAAATAATATTTCATTAGTGTGTTGCTGAAGATTATAAAAATCACATCTCTAAAAAATCCTTATATAGATTTTTAGATGCACAATCCGAGTATTCATCTTTATTTAGCCTTAAATGCTTGGATCTTCAGACATATAGCTTTTTTAAATAAATCCTTCAAAAGACCACCCTTATCTAAAATACACATAAGCCGGGCTGCCATCAGGCATAGGGGCACCAGTTTAATACTGCATAGGGCCCCATAAATCCTAAGGATGGCCCTGAACACGTTTGATAGTGATGAATGTGATAATGCGTCATTTGTTATAAATACAATGATGGCAAACTAAAATCCCCCAAGTTATCTTCAATAAACAGCAATGGAACCCATTTTCTGTTACAGTGCTATACCCCATTATGACCTTGTTTCAGCAGAAACACTTAAGCATGTGCTTTGCTGGGTTGGGCACAAGCAGACTAACTTTAGGCATCCAAACGTTTTAAATTTGGACTAGGACTAGTGAGAAAATTGCACTGGGGTTTCCCAGCTGTTGTGCAATGCAGCATATTTACTTATAATTACTTAACTAAAACAAAGAGAAAAAGGAGTACTTGTGGCACCTTAGAGACTAACAAATTTATTTGAGCATAAGCTTTCGTGAGCTACAGCTCACTTCATCGGATGCATGTCCAGGTCCTGGGCTGAGGGGCCAGGGCGCTCTGCGTGCTGCTTTTGCCTGCAGGTATGCCCCTCCCCACCCAGCTCCCATTTGGAGCCAGTACTGGGGGCGGGGGCAGTGCCCGGAGCGCCCTGGCACTCCTGCCTGGGAGCCGGACCTGTCCTTCTGGCTGCTTCTGGGACACAACGCAGTGCCACCCAGGACAGGTACAGACTAGCCTGTCTTACCACCACAGACCCGGCATTTAACAGCCCAGTCAGTGGTGCTGACTGGAGCCACCAGTGTCCCTTTTCGACAGGGTGTGCTGATCGAATGCATCCGATGAAGTGAGCTGTAGCTCACGAAAGCTTATGCTCAAATAAATGTGTTAGTCTCTAAGGTGCCACAAGTACTCCTTTTCTTTTTGCGAATACAGACTAACACAGCTGCTACTCTGAAACTTAACTAAAACAATAAGCTATGATGAAGCAAGTATATTCAGGCAATAACATGCTTAGCAAACCAGAAGTCAGAGGTCACTATAAATACATCATGCACCAAAGCAAAAGAGCTTTGAAGAGAAATAGCAGAATGCTTTGAACTAGACTCAGTCCTCCATGCTACAAGTCTGCAGAAGACTGGATGTTGCAAATGAATATTGTAAATTCCCAGGGGTAACAAGCAAGTCTTGTGCATTCATAGGTCCCCTTGCCAGGAGATACACAGTACATAATATATAACACAGAAGTGACAGCTATACAGGAGGCAAGAGGAGAGAGGGTCAAAGGACTAGGAGAAGCAAGATTTCTGTAGGAATGGGAGGTGGTTATGGAAAGGGCATAGAATCAGGTAGGGGACAGAGCAGGTGGTCTGTGCAGGGGTTTACAGAAGGGAAGTGAAGTAGTAAGGGGGCGGGGGGAGTAGTAAGACCACCAGAGATGTGCAGGAGGAGAAAGAGATAAGATTATATTAAAGTTGACTGCTATTGCTGCAAAAATTCTTAAGATACATACTATTAACTTATAGGAGAGGTTGAGAAACAATACAAAGATAAAAAGACAGACAATTGCAGCCTACTTTTGGCTTAGGTGGTTCCATAGGACAGTCCAACTTGAAGAATAATATTCTGGTTAAAAATGGGGAAAAGAACATATAGAAAAAATGTTAATTTGTCTTTCAAGTGTTAACTCCATTTCAATTAGTTACTTAAAGGCATTTCTGCCCTTGTGATACATGTAAAAAGAAAAGGAGTACTTGTGGCACCTTAGAGACTAACCAATTTATTTGAGCATGAGCTTTCGTGAGCTACAGCTCACTTCATCAGATGTTTACCGTGGAAACTGCAGCAGACTTTATATACACACAGAAATCATGAAACAATACCTCCTCCCACCCCACTGTCCTGCTGGTAATAGCTTATCTAAAGTGATCAACAGGTGGGCCATTTCCAGCACAAATCCAGGTTTTCACACAAACTTCCTCGTGGCTGGATTTTACTAAAACTAGACAAGCCATTTACAACGCACACTTTGCTTCTCTACAAAAGAAAAAAGACACTAAACTTTCTAAACTACTACATGCTACAAGGGGCCACAGCAATGGTTCCCTCACCCCACCTAGCAATATTGTTAACCTATCCAACTATACTCTCAGCCCAGCAGAAGCAGCTGTTCTATCTCGGGGCCTCTCCTTCTGCCCCTCCACCCCCACGAACATGATACAGTTCTGTGGTGACCTAGAATCCTATTTTCGACGTCTCCGTCTCAAGGAATATTTCCAAAATACCTCTGAACAACATACTAATCCACAGAGGTCTCCCTGCCAACACTACAGAAAGAGGGATTCTAGATGGACTCCTCCTGAAGGTCGAAACAGCAGACTGGACTTCTACATAGAGTGCTTCCGCCGACGTGCACGGGCTGAAATTGTGGAAAAGCAGCATCACTTGCCCCATAACCTCAGCCATGCGGAACGCAATGCCATCCACAGCCTCAGAAACAACTCTGACATCATAATAAAAAAGGCTGACAAAGGAGGTGCTGTTGTCATCATGAATAGGTCGGAATATGAACAAGAGGCTGCTCGGCAGCTCTCCAACACGAGTTTCTACAAGCCATTACCCTATGATCCCACTGAGAGTTACCAAAAGCAACTACAGCATTTGCTCAAGAAACTTCCTGAAAAAGCACAAGATCAAATCCGCACAGACACACCCCTGGAACCCCGACCTGGGATATTCTATCTACTACCCAAGATCCATAAACCTGGAAATCCTGGGCGCCCCATCATCTCAGGCATTGGCACCCTGACAGCAGGATTGTCTGGCTATGTAGACTCCCTCCTCAGGCCCTACGCTACCAGCACTCCCAGCTACCTTCGAGACACCACTGACTTCCTGAGGAAACTTCAATCCATCGGTGATCTTCCTGATAACACCATCCTGGCTACTATGGATGTAGAAGCCCTCTACACCAACATTCCACACAAAGATGGACTACAGGCCGTCAAGAACACTATCCCCGATAATGTCACGGCTAACCTAGTGGCTGAACTTTGTGACTTTGTCCTTACCCATAACTATTTCACATTTGGGGACAATGTATACCTTCAGATCAGCGGCACTGCTATGGGTACCCGCATGGCCCCACAGTATGCCAACATTTTTATGGCTGATTTAGAACAACGCTTCCTCAGCTCTCATCCCCTAAAGCCCCTACTCTACTTGCGCTATATTGATGACATCTTCATCATCTGGACCCATGGAAAAGAAGCCCTTGAGGAATTCCACCATGATTTCAACAATTTCCATCCCACCACCAACCTCAGCCTGGTCCAGTCCACACAAGAGATCCACTTCCTGGACACTACAGTGCTAATAAACAATGGCCACATAAACACCACCCTATACCGGAAACCTACTGACCGCTATTCCTACCTGCATGCCTCCAGCTTTCACCCTGACCACACCACACGATCCATCGTCTACAGCCAAGCTCTGCGATACAACCGCATTTGCTCCAACCCCTCAGACAGAGACAAACACCTACAAGATCTCTGTCAAGCTTTCTTACAACTACAATACCCACCTGCAGAAGTAAAGAAACAGATTGATAGAGCCAGAAGAGTTCCCAGAAGTTACCTACTACAGGACAGGCCTAACAAAGAAAATAACAGAACGCCACTAGCGGTCACCTTCAGCCCCCAACTAAAACCCCTCCAACGCATTATTAAGGATCTACAACCTATCCTAAAGGATGACCCAACACTCTCACAAGTCTTGGGAGACAGACCAGTCCTTGCCTACAGACAGCCCCGCAACCTGAAGCAAATACTCACCAACAACCACATACCACACAACAGAACCACTAACCCAGGAACTTATTCTTGCAACAAAGCCCGTTGCCAATTGTGCCCACATATCTATTCAGGGGACACCATCACAGGGCCTAATAACATCAGCCACACTATCAGAGGCTCGTTCACCTGCACATCCACCAATGTGATATATGCCATCATGTGCCAGCAATGCCCCTCTGCCATGTACATTGGTCAAACTGGACAGTCTCTACGTAAAAGAATAAATGGACACAAATCAGATGTCAAGAATTATAACATTCATAAACCAGTCGGAGAACACTTCAATCTCTCTGGTCACGCAATCACAGACATGAAGGTCGCTATCTTAAAACAAAAAAACTTCAAATCCAGACTCCAGCGAGAAACTGCTGAATTGGAATTCATTTGCAAATTGGATACTATTAATTTAGGCTTAAATAGAGACTGGGAGTGGCTAAGTCATTATGCAAGGTAGCCTGTTTCCTCTTGTTTTTTCCTACCCCCCCCCCCCCCAGATGTTCTGGTTTAACTTGGATTTAAACCTGGAGAGTGGTCAGTTTAGATGAGCTATTACCAGCAGGAGAGTGAGTTTGTGTGTGTATGGGGGTGGGGGGGATGTGAGAAAACCTTGATCTATGCAGGAAATAGCCCGACTTGATTATGTAAAGAGTTGTCACTTTGGATGGGCTAGCACCAGCAGGAGAGTGAATTTGTGTGGGGGGGGGAGGGTGAGAAAACCTGGATTTGTGCTGGAAATGGCCCACCTGTTGATCACTTTAGATAAGCTATTACCAGCAGGACAGTGGGGTGGGAGGAGGTATTGTTTCATGATTTCTGTGTGTATATAAAGTCTGCTGCAGTTTCCACGGTAAACATCTGATGAAGTGAGCTGTAGCTCACGAAAGCTCATGCTCAAATAAATTGGTTAGTCTCTAAGGTGCCACAAGTACTCCTTTTCTTTTTGCGAATACAGACTAACACGGCTGTTCCTCTGAAACCTGTGATACATGTGCAATTTATTATCGCCAACAGGAGTTTGCCAGGCAGAGTATATGCCCCTAGATCAACATAATAATAATAGCATTTAATTGGTTTAAACTATGCTTCCAAGGAAATACTACAGTGAAAGATGTATGTCGTGGCACATTCACATCACTGCTGCAGGTGACAGCTTTCTGAACCAGATAATAGTACAGCAATTAACAAGGGGATAGATAGCTAACTTGGTCAAAGCTATCTTTTTATTTTAAACACTGGAATTTATAATTGCATACGCTAGAGCAGGGGTTCTCACAAGAAAATTTTTGGTGGCCTCAGAGTGCGGCCACCAACTATTACTGGTGGCCACTCTAAGTATTAGGAAAAATTGTCAATTAACTTCAGGAAAAACAAATACATATGCACATATACATGTCCAAATCATTGTAATTTATTTACGTAGGGTTTTTTCGCAGACTCAATAATAAAAATAATGTACAGTTTTCTTTGTTCTTTACTGGACCTAAACAGAATAGAAACAAATAATGTGCTTTGTGTTCTTGTTCCTTTTTGTTGTTGTTTCTTTTGCTTTTTTGGTTGCTTGTTTTTTTTAAGACTTGCTAGCTAATAAATCCGTTTCTGTGAAAAGTGATATTTATCACTTTTCACAGCAGCAGACTTGCTATCGAGGCAGTCAAAAGTGATATTAACAAACATACAAATATCACTTTTCACAACAGACTTACTCAGCCCTGACAAGCTGGGGGATAAATTAAGCCCTGGATGGAGAGGTGGGTAGGGAGGCATCTCAGGGCCAGGGGTGACAGGGCTGGGGATGTGAGTCTGGGGACTGGAGCCCAGCAGCAATGCACTAGGGCCAGAGGACGAAGTGGGGGCCAGGGCAACGTGTGTGTGGATGCGCGGGGGTGAGCTTGGGGCCAGCAGTCACTGCTGCATGGCTGGGGCTGGATCGCACAGCCCCACGGGTGGAGTCCAAAACCCTGTGGCTGGGGGTCAGAGCCCACAGCTGCATGGCCAGAGCCCAGGGCCAGAGGAGGCAGGCGGGCAGGGGGTGGAGCCCACTGCCACACATCTGGAGCCTGCCACCCCAGGTCTGAAGCCCGAGCCCCACTGCCTGCCTGATTCTCCAGCATTTGTGGCTCCAGAGGGGGACAGGGCCCAACACCTACTGGCACCACTGGTGGGAGGGGGACATCCCCCCATCACCACCAAGGAGGCTGTGGCTGCACAAAAAGCCCCTGGCTGCCGCATGTGGCCACATTTGAGAAATGATGCGCTAGAGCTTAGAATCTGACTTTTTTTTATGCCCACAATTTTGCAGCATCTGAGAGCATCAGAGGGACAGTCATCATTACAGGTGCATTTAAGTTGTAGCATTAAGAGAATTTTAGTATTTTTGGAAGGTGTATGGTTCTTTATCTCAGCCAATAAATCATCATCTCCAATTTACACACACTATTTGAAGAACTAGTCTGTCTCATTAACCTGGTTATCTGTTTCACAGGTACGATGAACACCACCACAATTGTTATACCTTTGCACTGGCATTTATTAACTGTGTCTTGGCTGCACAAGGTAAGCAGCCAATGAGTAAAAGTGAATTCACAGAAAGATTTGTGATACCACAGACAAGGAAAGCTTCCAAGTATATCACTGTCTACCAGGAGGTAGCAGAAAATTATTTCTACATTGGTGACACCCTTGATCAAGAAAAAAACAATTCTGGAGAGGACACATTGTTACATGTTTACAGGCATTCAAAGCAATGAAAACAGATCCATAAATAGGAAATCTTTGGGTCCAAGCTTCAGTTCTCCCTCTATATACCTGACATGCCTTCCTGCAATATTTGAAAACTAACTGATTGTAGAGACTGACTGTAGAACTCAGATATGTCTGAGAAAAGGATCATCCCTTTCATCTCTCTCTTACAAGACATTAACATGACACAAGAAGGAAAAGACTTGTATGAGTGTGTTCTGGGAGCTTTAAAATTTTGCACTCTGCAACTAGCTAACTTTCATGAGCACTATCACTATGGGAAATTATATATGTTCCTGTTTGCTATATCATACTAAAAGTTGTATGAGTGTAGTCATGTTTTGTAGTAGACTATGAGTGTTGTAAATTAAAACAACAAATGTAGATTACCTTTTGACCAAAGTCAGAAAAACAGTTTGTGACAAAAATGAATGGTGACACTTATTCACTAAAACACTGCTTGAATTAAGAAAGCACTGCAATTACTGGTCATATATACTATTTTCCTCATATGCAATATGCAGATACTAAAATGCCTGAGATAAGGTACAAACTGAGTAAGTTTTAACTTTACCAATAAGTGGCAATGTTCATTCAGTTTCTTGTAAACATAAAGTACTATCATAAATGCTACGTTGTACCTCCATATTTTTACTACCATTGCAAGAATAAATAGCTGGAGTAAAACTATACTCCTCTCTCTCTAGAGGGGCTATTTTCCAGTGAAGTGTCTGGAAGTATTCAGTACTCTATAAGAAACATTTTATACTAGCCAACAGATTTTGCAGGCTGTTGTGTCCATAACTAGCACTGGACTCGTCAGAATGTCCCTCAACAAGAAATTAAAGGATTTGAAAAGACTGAACAGCAGTTTTACAGATTGTTTCTGCAGTCATGCACTGACCTATTATGGCCAACTTTTGCTAGTTTTCACTGTTCTAAACCCTAAATAACTTCACTAGAGTTAATCCAGATAGATATCAATGTAACAGAGCAGAGTTCAGCCTTATTTCTCCTCGTAGTTTTTGCAAAAGCTCAGCCAGAGCTAGGATGAATCCAGGTTCTATTTTCTTCAGAATTCTAATAAATGGTTCTTAATTTTGTCCCACCTCTAATTTATACTTTTGTATAAATGGTAGAATAAGTATAAAAAACAACAACATTCTTTAACTTCTTACACCACACAGTTCCATTTATTTCTTACTGTCATAAATGCCTTCTGCCATTGTTTACTATATTTTAAAATTGTATTTAACATCAAGCACTCCAAAAATGAAAAATAAGAACACTGAAAGAAGTTCTCATTAGGGTGAAATTCACCCCTGTTCAGAGGGTAAGCACAAACCCCCTCTGTACTACTTAATCCATATTTTGAGAATTCAAATGGAACTTAAATAGTGCTGGGCCTTGAGATGTGTTTCTGCTCAAGGGTGAATTTCTGATTGGCTCAGAACAAGGACCTTCTGTGCTTTTACCAATCGGAATACACTTTGTGAATGAAAATATATGGCAAGTTTTGGTCTCCCTGGTTATGCACTTCTAAAGGAAATAATTTGGTGCAATAGCATTGAAAATATTAAGTATGGTCTGCTCTATGAAAAAAAAAATACCTTGATATCTACTTTCTATAAATACCTTGACATTCAGCTTGGAGAGAGAGAAGCCATTATCCAGCCACAACATTTCCAATTACAGTACAGACGCTACAGAGGGAAAACACAAACATTAGAATATTTTTCCCTTTTTTCAATTTTATACATAGTGTAATCTACAATGAAATGGTGCTTTATATTGCTACATTGCTGAAACAGAAGAAGATATGGCTGGATTACACTGTGTTGACTATCCCTTGCTGGCAGATGATTCCTTGAGGACCATTACCAGCTGGCAGAGTTTAGAGCAACTCTTGCTTCTGCTGAGGTCAGGGTAGAACTGGCCAAAGAATCAAGGAGCCCCTCTGCTGTGCTGAATGGAAACAGTGTAGAAAAGAATATGTCACAGTGTGTAAAGCAACATCCACTAAAACCAGTTCAATTGGCTAACCAGGTTATCTTCTATGACTAATGACACCTGCAGTGCTACCAAAGGGGACACTTTTGATAACTTATCTTCATGACATTTCATATTATGGAATACTTTTAATACCAAACCACAGTGACAAGCATAAAAGTAGCAAGCTGCCCAGCATTCAGAGTTTTATTTATGTTAAATACAGCAATAATTGGAATTTCAGCTGTGCTTTGAGAAATTTCAACCTAAGTCAAAGTTAAACTAGATTTTAGATTACCAACCATACCAATGAACTTGGGTATCATCTCTCTCCCCTTCCCTCTATTTGACGTAATCAGAACTGCTTGCTTTGTGTCATATAGGCCCTATGCTGTTTATATAAGGTACTTATTTGGCTGCCCTATTAAAATAGTATCTGTCTCAGTCTTCACTGTAGTTATCTCCACAACACCTCTTTGGAGTTGGGAAGTGTTATTATTCTCATTTTACTGAGGCACAGTGAGACTATATGACATGCTTAAGATCACACAGGAAGTCTGGGACCTGAATCCTAGTCTCCCAAATCCTAAACTAGTGGGCGATCCTTCCTCTCCCTGGTAACGCTGCTAACAAAGATTTAGTTCAATCAGCAAAGGCTTGTGCTTTCAGAGCAGGGACAGAAGAGTTTATGTAGTGGCTGTGAAGCACCAAATGGCCATAGCATGCAGTCTAGTGATCAGTGTGAAGTCCTAGATGCGTGTGGATTTGTTACATATTATGCTGTTAGCAATCAATGCAGTGCAGTTAGTTTTGCTAGCAACAAGTTTAGAAGTTCTATAGGAATACAAAGGTATGCTGGATTGGGAAGAGATTACTTTAATTTTTTTCACATGGACAAATACAGTTATCCATTTTGTTTTTTCGGTACAACCTTCTCTGACAGTACACACCATACTCCATGTTCAGTACAATTTTAAACAGCATTCAGACATGCATTCAGAATATTTTAAACAGGAATATGGCTCAACTCAGCCATGTAAAGATTAGATTTTTCTCAACCTAATTTGCTTATAATATTTGCTCCTTTAACACTGGATTTCTTGGTCCATCTTATTATAGTTCATCTTGTTCACTGCGCTCTCGGGAGGAGACCCAACGATTTACAATCAGTTCCTGAAAGAGAAACATGGACTATTATAAGAGCAAAAATAATAAAAAAAAAGCTTCCCCCCCTCCCTCCTGTCATGCCAATCATAACTCGGTAGCAGCAATTCTTGATGCCCCAACCTACATTTAAAGATTGAACTTTGGGACCAGCTACCTCTGTGCTAGGCCTGCCCTCCAATGAATTTCTACCAACTCTGGGGTGCAACAGAATCTATGATGCTCAACATCACGGTCTTGTGCTCTCCAGAATTTGAAACATGCCAGAGAGAAAGCAAAAATTAAAGTGTGCTGCTATGTTAGGGAGCTAGAGTCTTCAACTGCCTCAAAGGATTGCTCAGCTAGCAAAGATGAAGAAATAATTCGGAGCACAACTTACTTGAACTTTAATTCTTTTTAGACAGTCTGGAGATGACATTTCTTTCTCAGTCATATCACACGGTCTAATCAAGTAGCATAACATAAGTTCCTGTCGACAAATACATGAATATTCCTTATGTGAGACAAATGTACAAGCTTCAATTGATTTTTTGAAACTGGTTTTAAATTAGAATCTCAGGTGTTTAGTTCGAACAACAGATCTCATCTCTTAGGCAAATTAAGAAGTATATACACTTGTATAAGATTTGTTAATGGGAACTAGATATACATACTGAGTATATGTATGTATATACTGAGGAGAGAACACACCCATTTGTGTATCTGCCTTGAGGCAGATATTAACACTCATGTGACACCTGGATACCCTAACCTCGCCATGGAGCCGTTGCTGCGAGCGATCTCCAATGGCGCAGATGGCTTCAACCTCCACGGTGAGAGGGTGAGCGTCCTGGCTTACGCGGATGACCTGGTCCTGACCGCGAACGACCCAGAGAACCTCCAATGTATGCTAGATGCCACCAGTTGAGCTGCTGATTGGATGGGGTTCTGCTTCAATGCAAAGAAGTGCACCTCTCTCCACATCGACAGCAGCAAAAGGGACTTGGTGTAGACGACAGGGTTCCAGATCCAGGGCGAGCCCGTCATCCCCCTGGCAGAGGGGCAGGCGTACCGGCACCTTGGCACGCCGACGGGTTTCCGTGTCTGGCAGACACCCGAGGACACCATCCAGGAGATCTTGCAGGATGCCGCCAAGATCGACGCCTCCCTGCTAGCACTGTGGCAGAAGATAAACGTCCTGAACGCCTTCCTGATCCCCGCATCTCGTTCGTCCTAAGTGGATCCGCTGTGGCAAAGGTACCCCTCAACAAGGCAGACAGGATCGTCCGGCAGCTGGTGAAGAAGTGGCTGTTCTTTCCCGAGAGAGCCAGGAACAAGCTGGTCTATATCGCTCACAGGCATGGCGGTGCCAATGTCCCCCACATGGGTGACCTGTGTGACATCGCGGTGATCACCCATGCCTTCCGCCTGCTGACGTGTCCTGACGCCATGGTAAGGAACATTGCAGCAAATGCCCTCCATGACACAACAAAGAAGCGGATCGGCAGAGCCCCCTCCAACCAAGACACTGCCAGCTTCCTGAGCGGTCCCTGGATGGCGAATTCGGACGGGACGGTGGCGACATCGCTTCACTGTGGTCCCGTGCTCGCAATGCCACGCATCGCCTGGGGGAGCGCGTCGGCTGCTGCTGGGAGTGGTGCTAGGAGCACCAGGAACTGGGAGTCCTGGTGCCGCAGATCAGGTCCGACGACAACACCATCGGCACCCCGAGTGCCAGGGGCATGCTGGAGAGGACCCTGAAGGCGGCCATCCACTCACTGTACATGGAAACTCTGAAGCGTAAACCGGACCAGGGTAAAGCCTTCGAACTGACCAGCAAATGGGACGCCAGCAACCACTTCCTCGCCGGGGACAGCTTCACCCGTTTCACCGACTGGCAGTTCATCCACCACGCCTGGCTCAACTGCGTCCCACTCAATGGAGCCATCCGCCATGGGAACCGAGACAAGCGTTGCAGGAAGTGTGGCTACTCCAACGAGACCCTGCCCCACATCCTGTGCAGCTGCAAGCCCCACTCCAGAGCCTGGCAGCTGCGCCACAACGCCATCCAGAACTGCTTAGTGAAAGCCATCGCACCGCGCCTGAGGGAGGTCGCCGTGAACTGCGCCATCCCCGGTACGGACAGCCAGTTGCAACCTGACGTGGTGGTCACCGACGAGGCCCAGAAAAAGATCATCCTCGTCGACATCACGGTCTCCTTCGAGAACAGGACCCCGGCCTTCTGCGAATCCCGAGCTCATAAGCTGGAAAAATACGCCCCCCTGGCCAACACCCTGAGAGCGAAGGGCTACGAGGTGCAGATGGATGCCCTGATCGTTGGAGCCCTGGGCGCTTGGGACCCCTGCAACAAGCGTGTGCTGTGGACCTGTGGGATTGGTCGACGCTACGCACGGCTCATGTGGCGCCTCATGGTCTCAGACACCATCCAATGGTCCAGGGACATCTACATCGAACACATCACCGGCCACCGACAGTACCAGGAGGTGTGAGTCGGTACGACATCGTGCATCAACTATGGGAAAGGGACTGAGAGACTTTTTCCATTGGACCATATGAACTGGAACCATAAACTCACTGAACATTAAATCCCACACCAAATGAGGGTAGATCCATTCTCATCATCGTATCCACTCATTATATTCCACACCTAAACATAGCCATTATATGGACAACATACCCCCATAGCTCAATGCCTGTACTTTGACCCGTTAAACTTTTACTCCCAATCGGGGAGATTGTAGATTATGTATTCCTTACGCCACCCGCTCCTAAACTGAATTTCGCACCCCTTGATAATCTGCACCTTATTCCCTGATAACCAGAAACTTCTATGCTTAAACTCTGTACCATTTTCTTTTTACTTCAACATTATCTTAATAAAATTATCTATATAGACAGGTCATACAGAACTGGTAACCTTTTAGAAGTTTGCATGTCCAAAATACTTTCCTATTTGGGCAGGTGAGTGGAGGTGGAAGGAAGTTTGTAAGTGCTGAGTTGGAAAGGAATGTCATTCCAGGACTTCCCCATTCTGCACCCCTTTGTTTCCCCCCCATAACTTTCAAAGAGCCTGCACAGATGTGACCCTCCTGCTCCAACCAAGGAAACCTGCATATGGATCCCTTAGAACCCATCAACATTGCTACAAATACTGGCCAGGAAAGAATGTATTCAAACACCACTACACAGTGTGCTGCCCCCCAACATAAATATGAAGCAATCATGCTCAGAACCCAAATTCTGATCCAAGTCCAGTATTGCTTTTCCACAAAAAATCTTCAAGCTAAACTATTATATTTACCAGTTAAAACTATTTCTAGATGCAGAATCAATATCTTATGCTGTTACCTTAGAAACATTCATTGTTGTTCTGTTCAAGCCAGACAAAGACATCCAGTTGAGCGGTCTGCGCAGTGACCCTACAAAGTTATCATTAACCAGTTCAGCAATGACCGAGTAACTGGAAAATAAACCCAAAGAATAGTTTGCAAAGAGAAAATTATGGTCACTTAAAAATCCTGTAATTTAAAAACTTCAGCCTGAGAATATTTGGCTATTGTGACTGTCATAGCCAAACAACTAACCTGTAGGCTGCAGACAAGCCATAAGACCTGCATCAGTTTCTACTAGACAAGGAGGAAGTGGTGAATGTAGTACTTAATTTGTGCCAGGCCTTGCCAGGGCTGAGCCTGGCACCTCTAGGCTTGGAGCTTCATAGCACTGGCACCTCTGGGCTTGCCACGTCAGTTATGAAAGTAAAAAATTTGCTTGTGCCCTGGCACCTAATTGCTTGAGCCCCGTTACCTCTTTCATTACAAATTAAGCACTGATGGAGAAGGTAAATGGTGGATGCAGTGAATGATAGTTCCTCTCCCCACTGCTCCTACCTCACCCCACCATCCTGCTACTCTTCTTTCAACAGTGTTCTCTTGAGAGCGGCCATCTTTCATTCACACCCCATAACTAAATTTGATTGGCAGAGGAATGGAGATCACTTATGACTTATGGCCTTTTTTCCTAGGTTACCCCCAAAAGTACCTAAATCATCCATAATACAAAAGAGACAGTATTACAAAAATCAGATTATTTCTCTGATTCCGATCAGCACATATGACATCTAGAAAGGTCCAGGGAGGCATTCTGAGGTCTTCAATTATATTCTTAAATATCTGTATATGAACTTACTCTCAAACTTCGTTTTGTGCTTCTAGTAAAATGACATGTTGATTCAAAATATTTGCTTATCATGCATGGTTAACCTTTCTGGTTAGAAAAATTTGTTTTGGATGTAGAAGGTACAAGGCAGGAAAATCATACTTTTAATTAGGAGAAATATATCCCAGTAAAAAGGGGGTGGGGGAAAGAGAGAAAATTGTATTCATTCATTTGAAACAAAAATAGAAGTTAAATCACACTAGTCAAATGCAGAGTAAGTGTTTTATAGTCAGAATATAAAGTGAATGCCAAACCTTGCATGGTAAAAGGGGGGACCTTTTCGATATAGCACTGCAACAACAAAGAAATACCATATTAGCCAGAGAAACATGAATTCCCAATTTTGGATCTCAGAATCAGAGATCAGAATCCTTATAAATAACTAACAATCACACTCATTACATAAACTATTGCAGAATCAGAGGAGCAAGGCTGAACCCTTTCAACAAGCTCCAGCTGATCCTATGTAATTGCATGGCACATGTCAAAAGCCGGTGCTGTATAAAGTGGACAGGAAACAAAATTCACACCAGAAAGTAAACTGCCGAAGAACAAGCTCAAATAAACTCATGTAGGCAACCAATATCATCAACATTTCATTTATTTTAGTTATTTTATTGGACGGTGAAGAAATTTTATTGGACGGTGAAGAAATTGCATTCAGGCACAACTTCTATACCATAAGGATTGTGTGTTAACTCCCAGTGCGCACACAAAAACGTTCCTTGAGAGTTTTATAGTAGTTTCATCTGAATGAAAAGAAGCATTCTGCTATGTTATACAGACATGCTTTTCTTCATGGTTTGCCATCATTTTACAATTTTCTATTAGAGGATAAAATTATACTATCACTCATTTCAATCTACAAAACTAATCAAGAAATTATTACTTAACAATTCTTAAGCTATTTACTACAGAAGTATGGACACTACTGAATATGTCCATTTGGGAAGAAATCTTAACAAAACAAAAATAAGTGATTTGAACAACAACTTCACTTTATGCTCTAATCCAACTCCCACTGAATTTGGTGGAAAGATTTTCATAGAATTCAACACAAATTGGATCAAGCTGTGAGAACAGAGAAAGCACACTACTCCAAACACTCATTAACTCCACTTGGGCTTCTCTGCAGAGTGGGTGGATTGGTTCATGAGATGAATTGGTTCATGAGGTGTGCAGTTCCACAGCTAATATCAAGCCGACAGGCCAAAGCTACAGGCCCTCCATGTCACTTACAGCCTGTTTTGGTACCAATGAATCCACACAGGAGCAAACCATAGCCTCTGCCTGCATTAATGCCTTATCTGCTAGCCTATAGCCTAACCAGCGTGGAGAGTCATCTTCCTCACAGGAGCTGTGGAGATCTGCTCTGCTTGTACAGTCCCAATGTCAAGTTTAAGTGGTGCACTGGCCATTAAAGATTTAGTTGAAAGCTATTCCATTTTTGAAAGGAAACTACTCACAGAGATCGGTTCCATACTTCAGTCCTACTTTGGGGACCCATCCCTTACTTCGGAAGTAGTGATATGCCATGTACGTAGTTCTAAAATTAGGTTGCACTTCACTAAAAATTTCCCATAGCTTCAAAATAGTTAAAGGTTCCTAAAAATCATAACCAAAGGCATTAGTATTATTACACTAACATTACAACCTACTGCTCTTACTTACAGGGAAATACCCAGGAAACGTTTCACATAAAACAGTATCTTTAGTAGAATATTCCATTCAAGTACCAAATATCCTAATCCCAATGCAAAAAGACTACACTTGAGATACTAGCACTATGGGAGTCCATTGTCTGCAACAGACATCTGCTTCAATAGGGGTTTACCAATCAATACCAAACCACAAACACCACCACCACCACCACAAACCACCTTTGAGTTAGCAGAATTCTGCTAGGTCTCATGTTGGTAGCTCAGGACTCGAGAGCGAGAACCCTACACCGATGATATACATAAAGAAAAATAAAAGCTATTGTTTGTTATGAAAGACAGTGGTTACAATTCAAACTGAAAACTTTTTCATGAAAGGGAGGGCATTCCTCTACATACTTCTTCCCACATCCCCCTTTTCTCTTGTATTTCTCCCACCTACTCAACACACAACCTTTCTTCTACAGAAGGTATCTTTTTATCTGTACTTTGTTGCTAAATAAAAAGCATTGCACAAATATTCTTATATCTACACAAATAGAAACACAACTAAGGAGAAAATTTCCAAACCCCTGCAGTTGGTAGTTGCTGCCTTTGAGATTAGCAGCATGTGATTCTGTCATAGTAGTTGGAAGTTTGAGACAGTGATCTAGATCCAAGTCAATAGTATTTTGCATCTTTCAGAGCAAAAGTCGCAGATAACCAAATGTAACATCTTACCTCATTATAATAAATACTCAAACATCCTAGAGCATAGACCAAGAAAAATGCCTAAAAACATAAAAAAAGAGTAAGTTAAAATACACTGTCTGTATCACATGGAGACCTGTAGTTATAAGATTTACATGTTACAACAAACTCTAGAATTATCGCATAAAAGAAGTTTGAAAGCCACCAAAAGAGAGGCATTCCCAGAGAATCACCTTTGAAGTATGTCATTGTGACTTTAAAGATAAACCAGCATTATCGGAATTTTACTCACAGGAGAGCAGCATATGCAAACACTGTATTCTAATTAAAGCAGTGTTTATAGATATTTTTGGAAGAAAGAGTAGATACAGGATTTATGTGAAAATTATAGGTCCATTCCTGCAGCCCTTACTCATGTGACTAGCCTCTCTGAGGTAAATGGAATTATTCACATGTGTAAAGTCTACAGAATTGGACCCTTCAATGTCTTTCACTATTTCCATGTAATCTACAGATCATTAAAATTATTAGTTTACCAAAAACAGTACAAACATTTTGGATTTTAAAAATCAGATCATTCTTTAAGAAAGAGGTATTTATTGAACAGATCAGTGCTTTGTTCTGATGTTAGAAGAAAAAGAAGTTTCACAATATTTAAACATACCTCCTCCAGACTGAGTTGCAAATATTCAAAAATCCTAAATGGATTTCTTCTGCATACTAATTTTTCCCTTTTGATTAACTAAAAGAAAAGGTATAAAAATAAAGTTATAAAGAAGCAACCAAAAAAAAAAAAAAAAGGAAATGTGTGTGGATTCAAATGACATTTTTCAAACATCTTAGATTCCACCTTAACTTTTCATTAAACATTTATTAGTGATTGATCTACTATATAGATGAACATTCAAATTGACAATACTGAACTGTGAAAAGAACACACTATATTGGGTAATTTATTTAATTTTACTAATGAAAAAAAAGAAAAACTTGCTTGGCTTACATTTGATTCATCATTTGCTGCTTCATCTTCATGACACAATTTGCTTTCTTCTTCCTGTACCAATACATACTCATAAGCATATTCTTTCCCTTTGGCGAAGTCATGAAATACTTGGTTAATATAGTCTTTGGCCTTGCAGCCACAGTGCACAATAAAATCATCATGTTTTTGGCAATGTACTTCAACTATAGCTTTAGTATTCAATGTATACAGTTCCTCAGAGCCATAGTTGGCTGATGGATCATCGTAAGCTGAATCACCTTCCAAACAAGCTTTCTTGCAGTCTACACTCGTGTTATGACATTTAACATTTGATGCTGCTGAATCGCCATTATTTATGGCGGAATCTCTTGAAAGTTTCATTCCATCTTCTACATTTTCCATTTCTGCAGCCATTCTGCAGTAAGAGTCATCATTTTGTGCAACTTCTCCTTCCCCTTTCATAAAAGGCAGATCAAATGGCTTAGTATAATTTTCAAGAATTTTGTTAACGGAGCAGTCATCAAGTCCTTGTTCTTGCATTAGGCTTTTAGCCCACTCTAGATGACACTGATACCTGGATAATGGAAAAACAAGAAGTGGAAGATTCTAAGGCAGAGTATTGTTCAACTAATACATGAAAACTAGGGCTGACAAGCGATTAAAACCATTAATCACAATTAATCCCATAATTAAAAAATTATCATGCTTAATCACTTGGTTAAACAATAATAGAATACCATTTAAATATTTGTGGATGTTTTCTACATTTTCAAATATATTGATTTCAATTACAACACAGAATACCAAGTATACAGTGTTCACTTAATATTTGTAATCAAAAATAAATATACACACTGTAAAAAAATAGTATTTTTCAGTTCAACTCATACAAGTACTGTAGTGCAATCATGAAAATTGAACTTACAAATGTAGAATTATGTACCAAAAAATAACTGCATTCAAAAATAAAACAATGTAAAACTTTAGAGCCTACAAGTCCACTCAGTCCTACTTCTTGTTCAGCCAATCGCTCAGACAAACAAGTTTGGTTACAATGTGCAGGAGATAATGCTGCCGCCTTCTTGTTTACAGTGTCACCTGAAAATGAGAACAGGCGTTCACATGGCACTATTGTAGCCGGATGTGACTGTGCACCCCATAAGGCTTTATGGAAATATGCTTATGAATGTATATATATGACATAACTGGAAATATGTTTTATGCTACATATGCCATGTAACATATCTTTGTAAAAGTTATGATCTACTGAATCTATTCATCCTATTTGTATGCATGTATTATTTTTGTATTTGAAGTTATGAATATTGGCTGTGTACTTGCTTGATTTTTAAGTAGCCATTGTAAAGCACTTGGTCAGCTTCTTGAGAAAGGAATGCGAAAATTAAGTGCCCAATCAAGAAACACTTAAACAATGGAACTTGTAAGGCTCCAATCCACATAAGAAGTCTTCCTGGAGACAGTCAAGATAGCATGTGGGCAACAGCTGCTGCCTGTAAAAACTGAGTCATGCATTGACATGTGGTTTGCCCATGTGACTCCAACACTCCATCTTGGAGCTGGACTTTGCATAGGAGAGAGGAGGGGGTCTCTACCCACAAGAGAAAGTCTATTTAAGCCCATGGGAGACCCCTCCATTTTGTCTTCAGCTGGCTCACGAGATATCCTCTCCACCCCCAAGGATACCTGAAAGAAACGGGAACAAAGGACAGTAAATACAGGGGATGTGAGTGATTGCTGGACCCAAACTAGAAGGAGACTAGTCTGTAAAAGGAAGCTTACTGGAACACCTCTGAGGGTGAGGTTTTATCTGTATTCAGTTTTCTTACTGTATTAGACATAGAACATGCAAGTCTATTTTATTTTGCTTGGTAATTCACTTTGTTCTGTCTGTTACTACTTGGAACCACTTAAATCCTACTTTCTGTATTTAATAAAAATCACTTTTTACTTATTATTTAACCCAGAGTATGTATTAATACCTGGGGGGGGGGGGGAAGAGGGGGAAAAACAGCTGTGCATCTCTCTATCAGTGTTATAGAGGGCGAATAATTTATGAGTTTACCCTGTATAATCTTTATACAGGGTGAAACGGATTTATTTGGGGTTTGGACCCCACTGGGAGTTGGGCATCTGAGCGTTACAGGAACACTTCTTAAGCTGCTTTCAGTTTAAGCCTACAGCTGTTAGGGGACGTGGTTCAGGTCTGGGTTTGCAGCAGGCTAGCGGGTCTGGCTCAAACCAGGCATGGCACTGAAGTCCCAACCTGCCAGGGCAATAAAGCAGAGGCAGAAGTAGTCTTGGCATATCAGTTGCTAGCCTCCAGGAGGTTTCTGTGATCCAACCCATCACACCAGAGTCGCAAGATATTTACGTGCCAGATGTGCTAAAGACTAATATATCCCTTCATGCGTCAATCACCATTCCAGAGGACACACGTCCATGCTGATGGGTTCTGTTCGATAACTATCCAAAGCAGAGCGGACTAACGTTCATTTTCCATCATCTGAGTCAGATGCCACCAGCAGAAGGTTGATTTTCTTTTTTGGTGGTTTGGGTTCTGTAGTTTCCACATTGGAGTGTTGCTCTTTTAAGACTTCTGAAGGGATGCTCCACACCTCGTCCCTCTCAGATTTTGAACCTTGGGTCGAGTGCTGTAGCTATTTTTAGAAATCTCAGATTGGTACCTTCTTTGTGTTTTGTCAAATCTGCAGTGAACGTGTTCTTAAAACAAAGATGTCCTGGGTCATCATCCAAGACTGCTAGAACATGAAATATATGGCAGAATGCAGGTAGAACAGAACAGGAGACATACAATTCTCCCCCAAGGAGTTCAGTCACAAATTTAATTAACACATTTTTTAACGAGCATCATCAGCATGGAAGCATGTCCTCTGGAATGGTGGCCGAAGCATGAAGGGGCATATGAATGTTTAGCATATCTGGCACGAAAATACCTTGCAACGCTAGATACAAAAGTGCCACGCGAACGCCTGTTCTCACTTTCAGGTGACATTGTAAATAAGGAGGTGGCAGCAGTATCACCCATAAATGTAAACAAACTTGTTTGTCTTAACGATTGGCTGAACAAGAAGTAGGACTGAATAGACTTTAGGCTCTAAAGTTTTACATTGTTACATAACTGCACTCAAAAACAAAACAAAACAAAAGAATCTACATTTCTAAGTTACACTTTCACGATAAAGAGATTGCACTTCAGTACTTGTATGAGGTGAATTGAAAAATACTATCTCTTGTTTATCATTTTACAGTGCAAATATTTGTAATAAAAATAATAATATAAAGTGAGCACTGTACACTTGGTATTCTGTGTTGTAATAGAAATAAATATATTTGGAAATGTAGAAAAAAAACATCCACAAATATTTAATACATTTCAATTGGTATTCTATTGTTTAACAGTGTGATTAATCGCAATTAATTTTTTTTTAGTTAATCGCATGAGTTAACTGCGATCAACAGCTCTAATTAAAATCAACAATACAATATAGAAATGAATGTTAATGCTTCCATAATTCATTTTTTAATTTAAAATATGTTTTATATATCAACTGAGGGATGTTTTTTAAACTGATCCAACACACTAGTTAAAACGGAGAGTAACCAATTTATAAGACTCTTTGGTATTCTATAGTGCTGTGATACTGTAGAAAACAAACAACTCAAGATCGCCATAACATTAAGTTTTCTACATATTTAAAAAATAATTACAGATTTACCTGTAGCTACATGCTGGGATCCCAAAGAGAATGTTATAGTGAGGATTGAGTGAATAACAGATTGAACTTCTTAACAAGCAGCTGAATAACACAAACTTATCTAAACATGAAGCCTACAAAAAAAATTAGACTAACTAAGATTTAAAAGGTGAATTAGTTCAAATTCTGGATTTATTTAAAGGATAAGACTAAACAGTGTTTCAAGCTCAGTGGGTTCAAATCCACTAAAAGTTAATGAAACAGGCTGACTCTGGCACAAGATTTACGGACAAATCCTCAGCTGGTGTAAACCAGTGGAGGTCCACTTACTTTAATGGAGCCAAGCTGATTTACATCAGCTGAGGATCCGGAACAAAGGAAGTCTGAAGAGCAGGCACTTCCTAATGGCTGCTATATGAAAGCTAACTATGCTATAAAGCTTAAAGGCCCAATTCTGCAGTACTCACTCAACCAAATATTAAAGGAAGTATTGCCTGTGAAAGGACTTCAGGATCAGGCTTTATGATTATCAACTACTGCAGTGAAGACTTTATATAAAAACAGTTTTCATATGTTATACCAGAAGCTAAAAGTAGAAATTAAGGATACTGATTTAAACAGCCAGCAATAGAACACTGAAGACCAATGTCAAAATATGTCCAGAACTAGTTCTCAGCTACAAACAGAGGCTCCAGATCTTTGCAGAATTTCAGTTTCAAATCAATAACATCAGTATCTGAGGGTGCTGTGCTTTGGATATATTTAGACACAACTAATTCAGAAATGCCCTTGGAAAGGTCATTCCAAAGTAAATTAAGGGATACTATTGTAAATAGTTTATAGTTGAAGAAGAGCGGTCTTGTAAATGTGATTTGAACAGGTCCATCAACAATAATATGATAAAGATCTGAAATGGTCTTTCCAAATTTAAAAAAAAACAAAACACACAACAACTTTGTTTTACTTCTTTTTGCAGCTCTAAGGAGATGGGAACACAAGGAAGATCATCAAGATATTTAACTCATTTAGGAAATGTTTTTCACTCTATACATTTATATCTCCTAGGACTGTGGCATACTTCAGATTTCAAACTGTAAAATCACAGGCATTTGGTAATTCTAAGGTACTTTAAGAAGGTCTACTAAATAGCAAGTCTTAAAGTGCAAGTGGCAAAAAAAACTGGACATGTTCTCTTTGCTCCTTTATGATGTATAAAGAAGATCTGAAAGCCTCCCTGTTCCACTCCCATGCCCCCAAAATAAAAAATTTCTGCTTTCTTTCTTACATTAGATACTCAGGTTTTGTCTATCATGGAAGACACTACCGCAAATGGAAAACTGGTAGGATTATGACATCTGTCATAAATATAAAGGGAAGGGTAAACCCCTTTGAAATCCCTCCTGGCCAGGGGAAAGCTCCTCTCACCTGTAAAGGGTTAAGAAGCTAAAGGTAACCTCGCAGGCACCTGACCAAAATGACCAATGAGGAGACAAGATACTTTCAAAAGCTGGGAGGAGGGAGAGAAACAAAGGGTCTGTGTGTCTGTCTATATTCTGTCTTGGCCGGGGATAGACCAGGAATGGAGTCTTAGAACTTTTAGTAAGTAATCTAGCTAGGTACGTGTTAGATTATGATTTCTTTAAATGGCTGAGAAAAGAACTGTGCTGAATAGAATAACTATTTCTGTCTGTGTATCTTTTTTGTAACTTAAGGTTTTGCCTAGAGGGGTTCTCTACGTTTTGAATCTAATTACCCTGTAAGGTATCTACCATCCTGATTTTACAGGGGGGATTTCTTTATTTCTATTTACCTCTATTTTTATTAAAAGTCTTCTTGT